CATAAGACACACCATGGCGCCAGTATTACGCTGATTTGCCAGCATGCTGTGTCTTTTAAAAAGGGCTTCAGGCTGCTATAAGCTGAGAAGCTCCAATATCAGTAGGAGCTCAGAGAAGAACCACACCTGCTCCTCCAGCAGCAGGTCTCTCTTGCAGGTGAGAGGTTGTTCTACTTTACGTTCCTTGTATGTGACATCACAAATTGAGACTATCTGAAATTACTCGTTTTAGGCATATAATTCCTAAAACCAAACACTGACATAAAATGGATGGACTGATCTTTGGAGTTTGTAGTGTTTATAGAAACAGTAGAGATCCACATGGAAGCACAAAGGGATTCAAAAAGTGAATATGATATGATATCTCCTTTAAAGTAAATGAAAAGCCTGGCATTTCTGAAGGAACACATACCTGCTGCCTTTCATGCCAAAGTTTCTAACTAAGATCTTCTGCTGTTCAGAAACAGTGGAGCCACAGGCATTTTGGTTAAAGATCATTTCTCTGTTGCTAACACGTTGGTTAAACCGAGTTATAACCGTGCTTTGCATTTGCAGCATGTACAAAACAATCATCTGATTTTGTTAAACACCTTTCTGAAATTAGAATGCAGAAAATGTCAAATAAAATGTCCTCATTGGACCAAACAGGAATGCTATCTGGCATCTTAATAAACAAATATTTATTTTTTATTTCACATTCTTTCTAAGCTTCACGGAATCAGATTCAAGTTTGAGAGCTTGTCTCCTTGGCAGGGATGGCAAATTCATTCAGGAATTTACATAGGCTCCTTTTTGTCCTCTTGGACCAAGAGACGTGATGACTTTCATAGGACACTATTGGGGACCAAAATGTCCTTTTCTGTATTGCTGTTGTTGACTATCCCATTAATTAGCATTGATAATTAGGTCTGTGTGTGTCGGTGCACTGACAAGAACTGTCAGTGGCCCATATTGATGACTCGAATGTCCCCTTGCTTGTCTCCTTGTTAACTCCTGTCCAGTCTCGACAGTCATCTACACGTGACTTGATGATTTTACCACTGGGGGCCCTTGTTTTTTGTCCGTCACCTTGTCTTGCTGCCTGGCAGGATGAGGCACAACAAACATGGCGGTGAAAGACGCTAAATGTGGAGCTGACAGCAAACAGCTGCAGTAACCCCCTTCTCTTTTGTCTCACATGCCCCATAATCTCATCAGCGTCTAACCCGGCAAACCCGTGAGCAGTGACAAAGACTTGCTATTGATCAGACCAGACCTTTATGTACACAAAGAATACACTTGAGTGACCAAGATGCTGACACGGTGCACGGTACACTCCTCTGTGACCTCCCCGATAATGAATAATGGTAATTCAGTGATAATGAGTGTGTTTTCGGATCCGATGAATTTGATAACATAACAAACATTACCATCATTATTAGTCATCATTGTATACATTCAACAGAGATTGCCTCAATGTTGTCTAAAGCCGATAATAAAAAGCTTTCGTGGACGTTTCAAAGCCGCCTGAAACTCTAATCCGCAGCTTGCCGGCTGTTTCTTGGCTACACACACAACTTCTTGCTGCAGCAACAGCCTGACTCCACAACCTGCGGTTTTCCCCGGCAACGTGCCAGGCTGCAGTCAGGGCATTCTCTGTGTCTCTGACCAAATACCCAGTGGAGGAAGTTCTCCTTCAGAAGCTGACCGTCCATCACAAAGCCTCCTGTAATAGACGGTGAGTCGTGACGAGCCAAGCTGAGAGGCCATCTGCGCACGGTGGCGTCCAGGAGACATTTTTGTTGCTGTGTGCTTGGCTAAAGAATCCAGAACTGGCACCAAGCTCTGCTGATGAGGGAAAACTGAGGAAATCACCAAAAACTTTCCAGAGGTCACAGTAAAGAGTACAAGAAAGGTGTCACATGAAAGTGCAAGAAATGTTGTGGAGAGTTTTATTAATAAAATGTAAATGAGATTTTCAAGAGGATTCATAATTAACTTTGTGTCACAATGTGGGTTGGAGGAGGAGGAGTAGGACCCAAAATGCAGAACCAGATGAATGAGGCAGAGGTGGAAGATAAAAAATAAAAATCCTTTATTTAGGAGCAATCCTCGAGGGCAGGGAGCCAAAACAACAAAAATCCCAAAACAAGCACTGGAGAGCTAGAAATAATCCAAAACAACACTCGAGACCCAGAAACACTCGAAACTAGAGAGGAGACCGAGACGAGACTGACAGGGAACAATGGACCGACAAACATATAGAGACACAGACAGGGTTATATACACTGGGGAGGATGAGAGGGAGATGAACTGCAGGTGTGTGGGGAGAGAGAGACCAGTTGAACTCAATTACTAATTAGGGAGGAAACTAACTTGACCTAAGAATAAAACCTAAGACAAAAAGAGCAGGAAACATAACTACTTAATCAAGGGGGGGGGGAAAGAAAAATAATAAACACTGGTGGGAAAAACACACTAAATAATGAACAGCTGTAACTAAAGGAAAATTACCTAAGAGAAAAAACCATAAGACCAGAAGGGCATGAACCATACCTAATATTCTAATGGGAAGCTGAAACTAAAGGAAAACATTACAGAAAGAGAAACTACAGGGGCGTGACTAAAAGGGGGCCACGGGAGCACAGGACTTGGGAGGGGGATGCCTGAGGAGGGAAACCTAAACAACCTACGCTACCCGGCCCGGGCCGACCCGGTACAGATGGGAATAGCCCACTAGAGGGCTGAAGATCTGGGGGCAAATGGGGGAACGCCAGGAGACACGAGGAAGACGCAGACATGACACATGAGGGCGCTAGGAGACACAAAAGGAGAACCTAGAGAAGGAGGGAGAACAGAAGGAGAGGCATGAGGGGAGACACAGACACAGACCATGACACTTTGATTCTTTAAAAATGTGATTAAAGCAAAAATAATTATATAAACTTTGTAAATAACAATAAACATAAACAATAGAACACAATCAAGACAAAGTGAATATTACTGTTGGCAAACAGGTAAAGCATTCAACCTATTCAACCTTTAAAGTGTGTTGTTAGACCAGTGATTGTCGCCCCTGGCTCCCCCTCAGTCTCAGACCAATCTTTGATCATTTATCCAGAGTTTTATCCCAACCTGACTAGTATCAGGAAACAGACATTAGGAAGCATACAGAGGCAATGATGATTTCATAATGCAACGAGACAGACAGTGAGACTACTACATGCACGCACACACACACACACACACACACACACACACACACACACACACACACACACACACACACACACACATGCCCTGACTGGCTGTCTAGCCTGAAGCAGGGCTCACAGGCAGCCAAGTGGAGTAAAAACCAGCGTCTGGAGTCATGCGGAGAGTGTTGCCATCAGCCTGCAGTATTAAGAATGATGTCTGCTGATTTGTTAACACACAGACATGAACTACATCAAAGGCCAAAATTCTATTCAGCTTATTTATATAGCGCCAAATCACATCTTAAGGCCCTTCACAAAGTAAACCTTCCATTACAGTTCAGTTAATTAAGCCAATCAGTAAACAGTTTCCTATATAAGGAACCCAGCAGGTTGCAAAAGGTGACCATCTCCCTACAAAGGGCTTGTTTGCTCATGCACAGATCTAATTACACCATTACCTCTCTGTATTTGCTCCCAATCAATCAATCAATCAAAGCTTTATTTATAAAGCGCCTTCCGCAACCCTGTCAGGAAGCCCAAGGCGCTCTCCCTGATATGACAAACCTTGAAAGCTAGATGTGTACACCAAAACAGCCTGTCTGAACCACTAACAGGTTGATGAGCTGCTGACAAGTTTCGGGGCAAATATTTGTCCTTAGACCAATTCATTTCTGTAGCATGGATCATTTTGGTTTCAAAGAAAACAAAACTTGTTTTGGTCTGTATTTGAGTTGTTTCAATCACACAACTGTGACAGACGGATAGGTCATCGGATGACAGGTCTGTATCTGAGTATCAACAAGGTAATGCCTGGGCAAAAGACAAATTATGTATCTGTGTTATTCCATCAGGCTCCAGACTGGTGAATAATAGAGGCAGGAAAACATCAATAGATAAAAATTAGGAAAAACCTTCTTAGAGCTGCTTGTTTGTGAAAATTAAATATAAAAATATCCTGTATTGATGGAAGATGACAGAATAGAATTGAAGAGAACTCTTAAGATAAATTGGTGGCTGATATTAATGATTTTTTAGGACATGCATTTAGTGACTCTGTAAAATTTTGATCACAGTACATTTTCACTTTTGGTTGGTATTTAGTGTCTAAAACTAAATGACGTCATTTCTCGCCTTGCTGAGGAGGGTGTGGAGAATAGATGGTTGGATGTTTTATAAACACATTTATGTTATTGATGGGGCCCCTAATGTAGTAAAGGACAGCTGAGCAAGAAGATGATGTGTGTACCCACCTCTGAATTTAAATTAGACCATAAGTAATTGCTTTGTCTGATTCATACCAGCCTCATACATTTAGCTGATGTGAGTGAAATGCAGTTGATTTAGCCTAACTTAATTCAGCAACGTGTTTTCACCTGAACGTTTGCGCTACTCATTTCTCAAGGCGGTGGTCCTTGTTAGCTATTTACTGTTTCACGCTGGGCGTGTTGGCGAGGACAAGGAGAACAGTTTTTTCATATTTATGTTACATGTTTCTGAGAAATTACCTCAGAGAGGCATACAACAATACTAAATATTTGAACATTTGTCAACTCCTTTCTTTGTTTTAGAAAATATGTGTTGGAATGCTATTAGGAAACATTACATCACCCTGCATTACATTTTCTTTCTTTTGTCCAAATAAATTTATCTCAAACTACTTTGTTCATGTAATGTATTTTAAACTTTTTAATGCAAATGTGGTGCAGCTTTAAAATGACAACTGTTTTGTATAGATGATGTCTCATTTGGACACTTTTATTTTGTGTATCCCAGGACTAGTTTGGTGAGTTTCCGAAGTTATTTGCCTTAATTCATGGTCCTCAGACATGAAGCTGGGCAGGAATGTGGCTCGAACCTTCCAGGATTACTACAAACTCAACATCATCAAAGACAACATACCAAACCAGATTCAAAGGTGAACCTGTGTGTTCCTGAAATTTTGTTTGTTATTTGGTTTATTTATTGCATTAAAATGAAATTTTCTGCTTTTATATGCCACAATCAGAATTATTTGTGTTGATATGTTTCCACAGCCCCGATGTGGATTTACAGACGGGCAACAGTTATGCTGGAAAGGGCGTTGGTGTTGGAAAGAACACATCAGACAGAGAAAAGGAGAGGAACCAGAGTGTCAGACACTAGACAATCTGGCGAACACAGACAAAATGCAGAGCATCATTTGCAGGAACATCCCTCACAGTTCAATGTGTTTATAAGCGCTACATCAAGCCTATCTAAAAAGATGTATATTTGTCCAGATTTATAACAGTGGGAGGTGCAGGATCTAAATCAGAATGGGTTTTGTCCTAAATTGTTAAAAAATATGTATTTAATGCTGCTGAAAACTGGATTAAATTCATCTGGCAGCTTCATTGATGTAGATAAATGCTTGCATTGTAAATGGTCTATTTTGCAACTTCACAAAGTGTTATTGTCTTTGATGAACCATTAAACAGTTAGCCACTAAATTCTGATCCAATTAATGTTGTGTAACAACACTGGAATTTTTAACAGATATGCAGAATGTAGAGATGCCCTAATGGTGCTACAGACACCCATTTCGTATTTAACTGGACATAAAAATACATTAAATATGTTAATTCATCACAAAAATGATTTAAATAATGAAGGTTGTAAATAGATGGTCATAGGCCCAATCTCAATACTCGCACTTGCACCCTCACGCCCTTCATTTGCGCGTTCCCGGCCAGGGGTGCGAGTACGTAGGGTATCCCGATTCTCAAGTGTGGAAGTTGAGCACGCCCCCATATCAACCTTAGGGTGTTTCTCAATGCCAAGGAACCTTGCCTTGATGTTCAGGCCCAGCCCTGGTTGCCTAGGAGATACGTCATCGGGAGCCGCCAAGACGTGTTCCAATGTTCATGTTCTACCGAGGCGCGTGTTCTCCGTTTGTTAGCCGTTTACCTAGCTGAGCGAGGATCCACGGGAGGTGTCTTGTAGCCTAGCTTTGGTCAAAAATGACCCAGAATACACTGCGGTATTTTCAAAAGGATGGCGGATCAGAAGCCAGCAGCTACTTCGGTGACAATTTTCAAGTTTAAAAGTAAGTCAGCTAATTAAAAATGTTTTTTTTAGATCCAAAGAAGTTATCTATTGTTGGTGAGCTGCTTATTAGTTGCAGCTTCAGTGGCTAGCGGGTAGTAACTCACTTATATTTTTAATTTAATAAACATATGCACATTTTAAAAAATGGACATTGACTCTGAGTGGACCTTGTTCCACTCTGCGATTGTTGAGGCGGTTGTTGCTAGCTGTGGTCGCAAGGTGACCGGTGCCAGTCGTGGTGGCAACCCCTGTACCTGCTGGTGGACACCAGAGGTTCGGGGAGCCATCATGCTGAAGAAGGGGGCCTACAGGGCGTGGCTGGTCTGTGGGTCGCCGGAGGCAGCAGACAGGTACCGGATAGCCAAGCGGAGTGCAGCAGTGGCAGTTGCCGAGGCAAAATTTCGGGCATGGGAGGACTTTGGTTAGGCCATGGAGAAAGACTATCGATCGGCTCCAAAGAGGTTCTGGCAAACTGTCCGGTGCCTCAGGAGAGGAAGGCAGCAACTCGCTCACACTGTTTTTAGTGGACATGGGGAGCTGCTGATGTCAACTGGGGCTATTGTCAGATGGTGGAAGGAATACTTTGAGGAGCTCCTCAATCCCACCTACGTGCATTCCAAGGAGGAACCAGAGCCCGGAGACCTGGGGATGGACTGTCCAATCTCGGGGGCAGAAGTTGCTGAGGTAGTCAAACAACTACACAGCGGCAGAGCCCCGGGGGCGGATGAGATTCGTCCTGGGTATCTCAAGGCTATGGATGTTGTAGGGCTGTCGTGGTTGACACATCTCTGCAATATTACATGGTCATCGGGGGCAGTTCCTGTGAAGTGGCAGACCAGGGTGGTGGTCCCCATCTTTAAGAAGGGTGACCTGAGCGTGTGTTCCAACTATAGGGGATCACACTCCTCAGCCTCCCTGGAAAGGTATACTCCAAGGTACTGGAGAGGAGGGTCCGATCGATAGTTGAATCTCAGATTGAGGAGGAGCAATGTGGTTTTCGTCTTGGCCATGGAACTGTGGACCAGCTCTATACCCTTGCAAGGGTGATGGAGGGAGCATGGGAGTTTGCCCAACCAATCCACATGTGTTTTGTGGATTTGGAGAAGGCTAATGACCGTGTCCCCAGGGACACCCTGAGGGGGATGCTCCAGGAGTATGGGATGGGTGGCTTTCTGTTATGGGCCATTCAGTCTCTTTACCACAGGAGCGTGAGTTTGGTCCGCATTACCTTTATGGACAGAATTTCTAGGCACAGCCGTGGTGTGGAGTGTGTCGCGTTTGGTGGCAGGAGAATCTTGTCTCTGCTTTTTGTGGATGATGTGGTCCTCCTAGCTTCATCGATCTCTGACCTTCTGCTCTTGCTGGGTAGGTTCGCGGCCGAGTGTGAAGCGGCTGGGATGAGGACAAGCCTCCACAATGCGGCTCAAAAACTGACTCCAACCCTGAAGTACCAAAAATTGCAGTTCCACCCTCATCCGCTGGGGGCTGGTGTCAGAGGCAAGCAAATCCTCATTGACTCCCATGTTAAAAATACCAATTTCACTGCAGAAATAAACATGTTTACAGCCTGGTACCAAAACATGTTTTTTGTTTAAATTATCTAGTTTACACTCATGACAACTCTGAGGGGGGGTGAATTTTTTTCTCGCTCTTCTGTTTAAGTGAATTAAAAGCCTAAAATTCTGTATAATTAATGAGCATCCGACCCACATGACCGCCACCTCAGACCCATGTGACCACAGAGCTAGCTCTGTGGAAAGGCCTCAGTAGAGCCTCGGTCTGGCTTGGAAACTGCTCCGGGATTTTGAGTCTCTGTGTGTGTGTATTCTTTTTTGGATATTTTTTGTGCAATTGTTGGACAAAATGACTTGCTGTGGCATTTATTGCACTAATAGAGCATCCAAGGAGTCTCCACTTCATTTTTTTCGGTATGTAAAATTATATTTATGTATTTAGGTCACTGCCGAGCTGAGCTTAGATTTTAACATGTACTGTTTAACCATGAAATTTAAATGTAATAGGGTAAAACCCAGTGCATTTAACATAAATCAAATCAAATCAAAATCAAATCACTTTTATTGTCACGTCACATGTGCAGGTACACTGGTACAGTACATGCGAGTTAAATTCTTGTGTGCGAGCTTCACAGCAACAGAGTTATGCAAAAATACAGTAATGTAAAAACAAGTAAAATATAAAAATGGCTAATCTAAGTAATAATATGTATAAGTTGTAATGTATATACATTACTAAATGTTTATGCAAGTATATTATTATTATTATTTTTAATGTATTGTTCTACGTGTGTGCGTGTGAGTGTGTGTATAGTGTGTATATACGTGTTTTACAAATGAGGACATATTTGTCCTGTCCATAATGCTGCATTTTAGAAAATGGGTTGAAATATAACATGTTGGTGGAGCTGGGTTCCGACTATCGGCTTGTGGAGCTCTCGGGAGACCTCTGTTTTCCACCCGGTTCTCCCCTCCCCGCAGCCCAGCACATCTCTGTCTGATCGTGGCTTCTGTTTGCTGCGCGGGCTGCCGGCTGGTTCTCCCCACAGCTCGGCGCATCTCTGTCTGATCGTGGCTTCTGTTTGCTGCGCGGGCTGCCGGCTTGTGGAGCTCTGGGATGGAAACCTTTCCACCCGGTTCTCCCTAGCGGCAGCTCTGCGCATCTCAGATCGCAGCGGCGCTTGTCTGCTGTGCGGCTGCCGGCTTGTGGAGGTCTCGGAGACCTCTGTGTTCCACCCGGTTTTATCCAGCGGTCAGCCCAGCGTATCTCTGACTCAGAAGCTCTGGTGTTGTGCACAGTTAACTCCGGTTGTAGCTAGGTTGCTACCTCCGTTAGCTTAGCTCCCACCTCCGCATTAGCTTTGGGTTAGCTTCAGGTTAGCTTGTAGCTAGTTCGACCGGGTGTCGTCAGTTGATCCCAGCCTTACAGCCCCACCCTCAGCTCCACCTCTCTTCCCTTTTATGGAATTGTCTGGGCTTGACAGAACCTGTGACAATGTCAAAATGGCGGTGGTGGCCACCTCCCATTTTAGCACAAAAACATATATTGGAGTCTATGGAAACCCATTGTCCAATATTTATATGTCGATGGATGAGGATCAGCACCTCCAAATCTGAGACCATGGCTCTCGACCAGAAAAGGGTGGCTTGCAAACTCCGGGTCAGGAGAGAGGTCCTATAGAGGTCCATAGTTTAAGTATCTCTGCGTCTTGTTCATGAGTGAGGGTAGGAGGGATCGGGAGATCGACAGGCAGATTGGTTTAGCGTCTGCAGTGATGCGGATGCTGAGCCGATCTGTCATGGTAAAGAGGGAGCTGTGCCAGAAAGCCGGGCTCTGATTTTACCGGTCGATCTACGTCCCAATCCTCACCTATGGTCATGAGCTTTGGGTAATGACCGAAAGAATGAGATTGCGGATACAAGCGGCCAAAATGAGTTTCCTCGGTAGGGTGGCCAGGCTCAGCCTTAGAGATAGGGTGAGGAGCTCGGACATTCGGGAGGGACTCTGAGTAGAACCGCTGCTCCTCCGGATCGAAAGGAGTCAGTTGAGGTGGTTTGGACATCTGGTCAGGATGCCTCCTGGACGTCTCCCTGGGGAGGTGTTTCGGGCATGTCCTGCTGGCAGGAGTTCCCCGGGTCGACCCAGGACACGTTGGAGAGGTTACATCTCCAATCTGGCCCGGGAACACCTTGGGGTCCTTCTGGAGGAGCTGGTGGAGGTGGCTGGGTAGAGGACGGTCTGGAACTCCCTAGTTGGGGCTGCCCCCGTGACCCGGACCCGGATAAGTGGAGGAAGACGATGACGACATTTTAAAAAGTAAAAGGCTTGTTATATATTTACATTGAAACTAATACGTATAAAATATAACATTGTCTCCCGTGTCATGTGACGTTACATGACCACCGTGGAAGCCGCGGTCAGGTGATGCAAGTCTGTTCCATTTAACCGTTTTCTTTTACCAAGGAAGGACTGTGTCCTCGTAAGAAAGGTGCCTGGTCTCGTAAGACATCGCCTCGCAAGGTCAGGCGCCTTGACATTGAGAAACACCCTTAATCTGCACTTCACCCAAGTCTGCAGCGATGCGGACCTCGGGCAAGGGAATTTTTCTAATAAAATTAGTTAATTTTAGGATGATTAGTTGATGCTCTGAATGTTTTAGACAAAGCAGCAATGAAGTTACATTTATTTAAAATAATTGCTTTGTTGTTTGTTTGAAAGTTGTTAATAAAGGTTTTGAAAAGTTTCACAGCGACTAGCATCCCTCCATGCGTTGCGATCGATGACGTAATGCTCCCTGTCTCAATTTGTCAATTATTTGCACACTTGTGTACTACGCACTCGAACCCTACTGCGCACTTTCTCCAAATGCACTTTGCTGAAGATCGCAGGGTGCCGTGTGAGAGGGATTGGGCCATAGACAAAGATTTTCTGCACGCGCCTGCATCTGAGAGTTGTGATTTGCTACGCAGTGGTTACGTGACCCCACATCCGCTAGTAACTACTGTTGCTGTCCGGCAGCCATGACAACGAGTTTAGGAAGTTAAATGGATGGAAACAACAGGCAAGAACAAGAAGATGTCCTCACTTAAACAGCACCAGAAGTCTCTCAGATGCACCGTGTACTTGGACATTTTGAGGGTAAGAACGTTTTGAAGCTGTCGCTTCGATGGGAAATTGAAAAACGACCTTTTGCGTGAGCTTGGGTAAGCTAGCTAGCAAGTTCACATCCTCTTTTTCTAAATCAGTTTGGTAAACCCGTCTCGCTCCGACCTGTTTTGAGGTGATGATTGCTGCAGAAAGCGCATAGTGTTTTCCTTTTTACTGGTTTTTATATTTTTGTTTGTTTATTACCAACAATAAAGAAAACAAAACAAACCGTTGCTTCAACACTCTTGAATTTAATCAAAGTAATTAAGAAGCCGAATCAAGTGTGTTGGAGCAGGAAAACAACTAAAACATCTAGCCTAGTGAACTAGACCAAATTCTTGCTTTCAGTAATACATTTGTTTTGGTTTGGCTTGCCAGGCTAAAAACATGTTTGATAGCGGCCCTCTGGGACCACCAGGGTTCCCCATCCCTGGTATAGAGAAACGATGAGGTTAGGTGCAGCTTGATTAAAGGTGCAGTATGTAAGGATAAAGTGAGAATTTTACAGTTAGAAAATCCCAGAAGAGTCTAATGTTTCCGTCAATTTGGAAGGAAGGTTATATGGAAACATATTTCATATCCAGTCGGCTGCGGGGATTGTTAGTTTTTTTCCCCTTTCAAAACAAAGAAAGGAGGGACGTAGCTACTGTTTACCATCAGTGAGTGTGGGGTTTTTTTTTGTCTCCTGTGAGCTAAAACTGCAGTGCCAACAGTTGTCATTTGACTACGGCTGGCAAAAAGATCCAGAGTTGTTTAAAGTGGTTGCAGTAACCAAATTTTACCGCAGGATGTTATTTTAACTTCATTTCTACATAATGCACATTTAACTGATGAGCTGCACGAGCAAGCAACTCTGAAAAGACAGGTCTTTGGTCAGACATAGACAGGCGTGTAAACACAAAACCAGGATAAGGCAATTGTTTCTGATTACCAGGAAAAATATATATAATTGAAACAACAACCTAAACATAAAAGTAGAGTTAACTTTACTGTGACAGAGTTTAGTCAAAAGTGGGAAAAAATATCCAAGGGATTTTTTTTGAGAGAGAGAGAGAGAGATATCAGGTAACATCCAGTCTTTAGACATGTTTGGCAGAGTTAACAGATAAGCTAAAATAAACACAAAATGAAAAATTTTATCTGTGTGTGTGGGTGTGTGTGCACGTGCACAGGTGACCTGTCCAGGAATGATTCTGCATAAGAGGAAGGGCATCTGCCTCAGTGTGCGCATCATGGGCCAGTACAAGAAGACTCCATGTGTACCTCCTGTCTTCCCTTTACTGTTTCACCACAAAATGTTTTTTATCAAGGTGAGACTAATAAAAATGGCTGCATGAAAATTAAGACTGCATCCTTGTCCGGGACACAGAATGGGCATCTTTAGTTTAGAAGTAACTTTGGCAAGAGTAGGGAGGCTTGTGAAGCATTATAGGTTTCTAACATGCTAACATCTCATTCATAGTTTCATAGTTTTTTTTATAAACGTTTACACCACTTTTCATTCAGTTGCTCACGGGCTGGCGATATGGCCTAAGATCAATATTCTGGATTTCACCTCGATAACGATAAGTGGACGATAACTACAGGTATGCGCAGAAACTAAAGTTGTCCACTAGATGGGGCTGTCACATGTATTACGTTGAGTCACATTTTTACGTGACTCAAGGTGGTTCAGCTTCTTAAAGGGACATGAATGTTGCCAACCTACACACATCTTTTTAATTTTTATTATTATCAGATTTATTGACTTGGGAAAAATTTTCACGATGAGTCAAAATTTTCGATAACGATCAGTGTTCGATTTATTGCCTAGCCCTAGCTCACACGTGAACTTGCTGAACTACTGTTCATCACACTTTAGGTTAGATTAGAGGCCAATCTTAATAATTTTTGATTGAACTTTTCAGTTAGAGGGTTTAACCTTTATATCAGATTAAACATACAACTATTTTTTTCTGAGGAGAATGCCAGCATTATATTTGAGCCTGTCAGCCTGCTCTTGTTATACGTATTGATTCTTTCTGTCTTTACTCTGTTCCAGACTTTCCCGGGTGTTGTTGACCCTGCTGATGTTGCTGACCTACTCAAAGGTAAACAGTCATCTGGGATTTGCTTTCTAATTTATTTGTCCTAAATTCTATTCTGTGCGAGTTTATAGGCTGTTAGCTGAGCTAGCGATCATTAGCTCACTGTCTGTTTATGCTTTCCTTCCTCTTAGCTGACACAACAATTTTTGAGCTGATTCAGTTGGTCCCTCCAGGTACGCTTTCTGATGAGGCCATATGGCCGCGTTAAGTATGCCCAATATTCAGCAATTACACTGGGAAGTCAGGACTTTAGCATGGATGTTTTTGGGTGTGTCTGCGTTCCTATTTCACTGTCTGTGCATGGTTTGTAGACGGGGAGATTCTAGCTACGATGGAGAAAAACAGCAGGGATTTCCTGTATCCTGCTCCCGGACGGTTTACCAGAGAAGACGATGCAGAGAGACAAGTTGTGATGAAAAGATCAGCCACCTTTCCTGTGAGCTGTTTTATGCTTTTAAAGCTCTCTATATATATTTTTATTGTTCTAATAATTACTACAAGCAAATGCAACTTTTATTGTAAAAATGTAATATGATAGCTGGTATTTTAAACCTTCCATTTTGAATGGACTCTTATTTGTTAGATGCTAAAAGTATCATCTTGTTCTAAAATCTGTGTGATGTGTCTAGTGAGAGAAGTTTGCATGCAAATAACTCCTTTGTATTTTTTAATTCTCTGGATCTGAAATTAAAGCCATTGTTTAGTAAATGTAAAATGTGAGAATTTAATAACATTTTTTAAATGGACAACAGAAAATATAAAAAGTCACTCCAAATAAATGATTTAGTGGCACCTCTGGCAAATGCAACACACTGATTCTCTCTAAAGACGCTCCATCCTCAGTTATTATAGTGGATTACAGGTCATTACGGATAATATTCCTAGCACAATACCAGGAAAGGATTTGCTATTTTATATATTTTAACTTTTATCAAGTCAGTTAAGCAAGATCTTTTTAAAAAATGTCCAGAGATTATAGAACACTTGAATTTCAGCACTAGGACACACAACTTGGATTTCTCAAATCACCCCATTTTACAAAGGAGGAAGCATATTCTTTTCAGGGAATGTCAATGATTTGTTTTCATCCTTTCTGTGATCCATTCTTGATTATGAACAACCTTAGAGAAGTCATCTTGAACTGAGGTTTATTGTTTTTCCTGGTCTCAGTTATTCATTCATCTGTGAGAGAAAGGTTTACTACCAAGATTATGTTTATGTATTTAGCTTTTGTCCAAAGCAAATTATAGGTGATAATCAAGCCATCAGGTTGCCCTTGAGGCTAACAACAAGATTACCAACATCAAAAGTTTATGATTTTAAACTAAGATTATCCATTTGAGTTTTCCCAAATAAGAGAACTTTTGTTGTTTTCTGTCAATCTACATCTGATTGTTTCTCCTATCCTCTTCATTCATCTGCACTGAATGTATTAATTTTTCTTTAATTGTGTTTATTTTTCTGTTTTTCCTCTTTTTCCTCCAAGTCTCCGACATTTAAATGTTTTTAAACTCTATTCCCCTTCACTAATGCTTTTATGTGTTTGTATTTGAGGCCTACGTAGCAATTTAGATGTCTCTCCAAATGCCATATTATTTAAAGATCACTGGAGCTTTTCTCTTCTCTGCTGTTTGTTTCTCTCAGCTCAGGCATAGATTAAAGACTTGTGGTTGTAAATTGATGTTTCATGCGGTGCTTTTATGTGTCCTTTTGTCTTCGTCTTTGTTAAAGCTGTTGTTTTTGTCCTATTGTCCCTCTCCTGATAGGGAATCTCCCCTAAAGTGGAGTTTGTTACAACTTCAGTCATAGAGGAGAGCAACGGGAGGAACAGCTGGACTGCTTCAACTGTAAGTGTGTGTGTGTGTGTGTGTGTGTGGTTTCTTGCTGCTACATTAGCATGTAAGTGTTGACCACAGCTACAGCACTGAAGATTGCTCTCTGGAGGACTAATGAGTGGTATCACTTGCCATCAAATTTGTCTGTTTCCACTATACATACCCATCGTGTATTGTTGCCATGGTGACTGCATCTATTAGTCCATACCGGCGGTGTTTCAAGGTTGTTTGTTCTCTTTGTGAATGTAATTATGGGGAAGCAGATCAGCGATGCTGATAGTGAAGCTTCTCACACGTGTCCTGGAGTTTTCACACAACTTAGTCAGATACCGTCTCTCCAGGTGGTGGGCTATTTGTCTTTTGAAAGCTCTACTTGAGTTTTTTTTTTTTTTTTTACGTATAATAGTTTATATATTTCCATATTACTTTCATGTACTTTTTCTATTCATTTTAAAACGTTTCTTTAAATTTGGTTCTGTGCAGAGAAAAACAGACTAAATGTGTCGCGTTTATGCACATGCATTTCCAGCAAAGTAACACTGAATCCAACTGTGGATTAAAGAAACAAGATGAATGAAAATCTGTTAGAATCTGTTAACAGCCTATGATCTTTCATGCAGTGGTTGGCATGTTGCGCCAAACAGAATACTGCATCTCCCAGGTGTGGTAACCTAAGCTGGGCTATTAGTTTGAATGGGATGACACTGACAGCGAAGCAGATTGTCGGATTGTTCTGCAGTGGCCCCTCAGGGGGATGTCTGGATCAGAGCACCGCCGTGGTTGTCAGACAGTAGGATTTTTCCATTTTCTCTCTCCTAATGGCTTCTCAGCATAGGCATTTTCCTGACTACTTGTCTGTCCTGCTGAGAAACCGTGTTGTATGCTAACAGCTTTAGGAGGATGGAGACGCGTACAAACCTTTTAAACTGTACTTATCAGTATAAGCTCACATGTAATCAGTGGCTTCTTTGTTCTTCCCTTTTGCTAGCACTGGAGTCTATTTTTAATCTATTTGAATATGAGTCTGATAGATGTATGAAGCGATCTTTGCTCAGTTTTTGACTTTAAGATAAGAAAAGTCATGTTTCCACAGGTGTCAAGAAGTTGCATAAAACTAAGTAGATAGCCTAAAACAGATCGTTACTCCTTTTTTCTGAGGTAACATACGCTGCTCAGCGCTGATTGGCTCTGTTAGAAGGGTTATTTGCATAACCCCTGCTTCCCATGCTAAGGAAGCATGGGGCTGGCTGGTCAGGCTAGGTTCAAATAGGCACTAGTGTAAGGCCTCTACCTGCTTTACAACTTCACTGTGCCGGTAGCTCATATAAAAGCTAGCCATTTGCTTTTTCAGTTCGCGACCATCAATAGAAAGTGCTGAAAGAAAACGAAGTTTGGTCTTTGCTGGCATCATTGCGGAGCCCATAAATAAAAGGAAGAGAGTCATGTTTCTGGAGGGGACGTAAAGAAAGTGTAAACTAGACAAAGAGCTAAAATCACTGTAAACACTGGCGTGGCCTATGCTCAAACCTTCTAAAAAGTAACAAGCAAAGTCCTAAATGTATTTTCTTTGTTACTGAACTATCAATAATCATACTGTCATGAAAACATGCAAAATACAACACCTTGTCCGACAATGTCATCATCAACGCCTGGCGCAGGATTGTTATTCTGCTTTCAACCAGTAGGGAGGAGAAGTAGGAAATGTAATTATTACTTGAAAATCCTATCCCCTCAGCTGGTGTGTGTGTGTGTGTGTGTGTGTGTGTGTGTGTGTGTGTGTGTGTGTGTGTGTGTGTGTGTGTGTGTGTGTGTGTGTGTGTGTGTGTGTGTGTGTGTGTGTGTGTGTGTGTGTGTGTGTGTGTGTGTGTGTGTGTGTGTGTGTGTGTGTGTGTGTGTGTGTGTGTGTGTGCGTGCGTGCGTGTGTGTGTGCGTGTGCGTGCGTGCTGTTTCACAGACTTTAACACGTCAAAGGGATCTCTGTAAACACGTATTAGCAGCTCAGCCCCTGCAGGTTGGTGTGGTGAGCCTCAAGTTAGTGTTGCCATTTTTAAGCATTTAGCTTCAGAGGTAAAAGGCAGTGTATGGAGTATTAGCTTTGGTTTTATCAACATCCCAAGCTTTGTTGAATGTTCTCTGTATTCCCCCAAACCAAGAGGGAAATAAAGGGTAATCACATTAGTCAAAGGCTCTGTTCTTAGCAGGTGACAAAATTATTCTGTGTTCGTCTAGCAGGGAAACACTGATAGAAGAGCAGAAGGAAGTCAGATGTGTGATGATTAGGGGAAGATGGCATATTTGTGTTAAATCCATGATATCAGATTATTGTCAAATGGCAACTTTGATGATGATTTATTCATCATTAAATTTCTCTTAAAAATAGTTTCAATGTGCTGTCATTTTTCTCATTAGCATTTAGATTATCTTTGTTTTACAGCCAGTCAATGTCTCTTTATCACATTAGACTAGAGATGGCCATCAAATGCAATTAACATTTTATCTTAACGTATTTATCCCCGGTTGGCATTACCTGCAGGAAGTGAGATATTGCGTTGGAGAATGATGTTAGCGGCCATTAGAGTTATTAGAGTAATTCTGCAGAGGTTGTCTCCAAGGCACTGCAGGCTGCTGTTGTTGTTATTATAACACTTAAGTGGATTCATTTAGCTCATGACTCAATGCTTCTGTCCAGCAAGAGCAAGTCTGTCAAGAGTGAGAGCAGCCGCCTTAATGGCTAAAATGGGCAGTGCTGTAAGCTGCAGTCTTCAGAGAAATTTGAACTGCTTCGATGTTTCACATTAACGTTATGACTCGACAGCTAAAGCCTAATACAACATTCTTTTCTTTCAAAACAGGGGTGTTGTCTTTCCCCCACGAGGCCATCTTTAACCCCCCGTGGATGGCATTCAGTGAAAGCATCTTCAACAACCAGCGGACACGTTCCCAAATGTGATCATGAGAGTTGTGTTAAGTGGAAAGATGGGAAGAAGGTTCATGTTGAGGCTAAAATCACAAATTCTGCACCGTCAACATCCAGGTGCTCTCTTTTTGCATCTCCATCTGACTGCAGTCAGCTAAGAGGGAAGAAGGATAGAAAACTAAATGGGAGCAGAATTTCTGTGGATGCTGGGTACCAACAACCTACAGTGTCCTCCAGGAGCAGGTCCCTGTCTCCTTACACACATCGTAAGATGTGTCAGCTCTCTGAGGATGCCAGGCAAAGGCTCGGCCACCTTCATCTGGGTCCTCACCGCTTCAGGAAGGAAACAGAGAGCCAGCCACCATTCCTGGTCAGTAGCATGTACATTCTTACAAACATGAATCATGGTGGTCTGTTTAATGCTGTTCACAGACAGGTTTATAAGATTAATGGAATCTCGAGATGCTAAAGTACAGACCTCAGTAGGAGCTTCCCCAAATTTAACCACCATGCACACAGATTAAGTGGAGGGCACAGAAAGAGGGCAATGTTCATGTTTTTACCTAGGATTTTAATGGATTTGAAGTCATAAATGTTCATCATCTAAATATGCAGAGAAAATGGTCAAATCATCCTCAGTAGGAGACTCAGGCAGGCTTTAGAAACACACTCTGTGTATTTAGGCTACAACGGTTAGCAGCTTAATTATGATTCCATCTCTGTTATCAGAAATGTTCATATAAAAACGAGTGACTCTCTTATTATGTAGCTTTGGGGTGAATAAACTGTTCATGGAGAAGACCAACACAGGCACTGCTCTGTTATCCTTCCCCTCTCAGCTACCCAGCTGTGTCTCACATCAAATCTGATCCCCACTTATGGATATCAGAGTACATTTGGATGCTGTAAATAGAAGACATGAGTAGGTACCAGGTTTGTGTTTCGTCACACACTTTAGCTGAATTTACTTGGTTGTTTAGGGTGAGAGCTTGCTTTTCTGCGTCTTTATTTCCTGTGGGGGTGATCTTCTTCCTCTATAATTAACCCTCATTAATGGAGAGTCAAGCCGTAATTAACAAATAGACACCTAATGAAGTAGTTTAGCTTCATGGTGAGTGCATTATCAGTGCACATTTCAAAGCTTCAGTCGTCGCTTGATTGTGGAGAAAATACATCCTTGTAAACGACCCAGTTTATTTGGTTTGGCGATGGTTGTTGGAGAAAAAAATATTGTTTTCCTTGAAGCCCCGTTGTGATCTTCTTGGGAAATTACTTGGGACGGAGATGACAGATGAATAGCACAACAGTGAGCTTTTATGTTGCACAAATTGAAATGTTCAGTTGGGATTCATATTCTGTTGATTTCATTTAAACAGTGCAGCAGAAGTAAGTAAAGTTTATTTATATAGCACAGAAAGAAAAATCACAAAGTGCTTCACAAAGATCATATCAAGTCATTAAATGATCATACAAACAAAACAGCAAACTATTCTGAAGCAAAGATGAAAAATAATTAAAATTAGAAAACACAGCAGATTAGAAGCAGTTTTAAATAAATGGGTAAAGTTATAAAATGATCATTAATCTAATTACAAAAATATCATGAAACAAATGAAAGATAATTAAAAAGTAAATTTACAGGTGAAAAAAGGGGAGGAAAACACTAAAGATTTAAGTAAAAATAGTTTTTAACAAAAGGGTCTTCAGCTGTTTGTAAGGGTGTCCAGACTGTCAATGCTATGTAAGGATAAAGAAAGCATTCCAAAGTTGGGGTACAACACCCTGGAAAGAGCGATCACCTCGACTTTTATATCTGGTCTTTGGAACTTCTAGAAGGTTCTCGTGGGTGGACCTTAAGGCTCGGGTTGGAGCATAAGGCTTTAACAGTTCAGTAATATAAGGAGGAGTCTGACCATGTAGAGCCCTGAGAGTTATAGTAGGATTCTAAAATGAACTCTAAAGGTAATGTGTAACCAGTGCAGAGACACCAGGATAGGAGTTATGTGAGCTCTTCTGTTTGTTCCTGTTAGGAACCACGCTGCAGAGTTCTGGACCAATTTAAGGAGGTCATAGGCTTTTTTGTTAAAACATGTGGAAAAGGGTATTCTAGTAATAGATGGGAGGAGATAAAGGCATGAATAATCATCTTAAGTTCATGTTTTGAAACCAACCTTCGCAGTTCTGAGATGTTTCTCAAGTGATAAAAACAGTTTTGGACCAGCATTTTTGAGTGGCCTTCAAGAGACATTTGACTGGTCAAAAACACCTGTTTGACTTGTGGGTAGAAGATAAATCACCAAGTAGTTCACTAATCAGAGGAACCATGCTCTCAGGGGAAATGATCCGACTGTTAAGTCTTTAACTGAAGGAAGTTATCTTCTAGCCAGAATAGCGTACCTGTTTTTTGTTGTGGCGTTTACAGTTGTACATTTTGGAGACTAATTTGTTGTTTATGCTGAAAACTCACCAATTTACAATGAAAATTAAAACAAAGCTGCCAGTAAATCTTGTTTGTGTTGTAACAGGTGTCTGGCTGCAGTGCCTCTGTGATGGGAACGTCTTTTTCCTCGCCAAGTGACAGCACGCATCAACGATCTGTTAGTTTCTCAGCTGATCTTGCAGGTAGGCCTGAAAAGCTCAAAGCCTTCTGTTACACAGAATTCATCATGACAGTATACAAATAGCATTTAGCGCTTGTTGATAAGAGTAGCTAAATCTTAATATCAGCTAGATGGCTTATGCCTCATGAAAAATGTCAGCTGATCTGAGGCTTTTAGCAATATCATTGTGCAAAGGGGGAACATTCAGACTTGTTTTCTTAAGTTATAATAGTTTTATGGTTGATACAAAATATGTTCGTGAAGTTATTTGCACTAAATTTGTCTCACATAGAGTGATTTCTGCAGTTTTATTCTTGTCAGTTTCAGTACCTTCCAAAATGAGTTGTTTCAAGACTCTGTCACTTTAAGAAAACAAGCTAGAGCTGGCCACACCTACCCCTCCCCCGCTCAGGTCACTATACGCTGAGAAGATCCTATATCCAGGAGGGGCTCAGAGTAGAGCCGCTGCTCCTCCAGCAGCACCTCTCTCATGAATGTGAGAGGAGGTTTTATTCCGCTTTCGCTGGTTGTGATGTCACAAATGGGGATTTTTTTAAATAGCTTGTTTAACTCATTCACTGCCAGCCGTTTTCTGATCAGTAAAGCCCTTTGCTTCCAGTGTTTTTCAGCGTTTTTACTGTTTTTTTAAGTCACAGAATGTTGTGCTAATGATGATGTAAACGCCAAAACTAGCAAAACAAAGTGGAGACTCACCTCTTACATCAGGAAGAATCCGCGCTTTTCGAGCGTTATCCGTTCTTTCATAATCCGTTGTCGAATTGTGATCGGCAGAAGCTTTTCCGGTTCGCGCCTCACTTTTTTTACAGCAGCGGCCCAAAACGATCTCTTAACACATGGATTTTCTGCTTCCTGATCACATGACGTGTGACGTACGCGGATGAAGATCGGCTTTAGAGCTGAGATGTTTGTTCTCACGGTGCGGGGGCTCGTTCCGACTCCCACACAGTAAAAAAAATGCAAATGACAACTTTAGTCGTCATTGGCAGTTAATGGGCTAAGGAGCATAGAGGTGAACATAATTATCTTCTTTTTTTCTTATTTAACACAGTGAAGTCATTAGATGTTTCTTTACCTTCGGCTGACATGTTTCGGCCGGAACTTTTGCCTTTGTCAGAGCCGCCAGCTGTTTGTGGCGTCACTTCCTTTTATGTGCGGGCAGCAAAGAACGATGTCGCCCTCTGCTGCCATCATCTTTCACACTGATAACACAGTCCTATGTGTGATCCAACGTGTAAACACTGTCATCTCTGTTCATGCTTCTGTATTTTTGTCCCGTATTTATGATTTGTGTGCTGTCCCAATCCATTATGTGATTTTTCCCTTGTGCAATGGTCCGTTACCACGGATTTTTTCATTGAACTTTCCACTTCCTGTTCTGCTGCTCTTGTATGCCTCGGTTTTGTCTCTTTCTCACACTCTTTTTGAGAGGGCAGTAGAGGGCAGCATCGTCCTTTGCTGCCCACACATAAAAGGAAGTGACGCCACGAACAGCTGGCGGCTCTGACGAAGGCGGAAGTTCCGGCCGAAACATGTCAGCCGAAGGAAAAGAACATCTAATTATTTCACTGTGTTAAATAAGAAAAAGAAGACGATTATGAATCAACACACAGAACGAATATGCAGAACAGTGGTGAACATAGTTCTTAAAACTAAACACTGACAAAAAACAGATGAATGGGGTTTTCCCACATTTGCTAATAGAGGTAGAGACCAACATGGCAAAAAAAGAGGTGCAAAAGGTGAGTTTTGCATAATATTTCCCCTTTAACGTCTGCCACACAATTATGGTTTTGAGCATTTATTTTGCAATTATCATCATAACTGAGGAATCTGTTTTGCTCTTTATCTGTGTCTGTCATTTGTGTAAAGTTATAACAGTTTCTTGTTTTTGAATAGATTCTTCTCTCCTTGGCAGTTACAGACCAAGAACAGTCGGAGTAAGTATCACATAGTATTCTACTAATTGGAAATCACACTGAGCAACTTTCTTGACATAAACAATCCTTAACGTCACAACATTTGTTTGTTTATTTTTTCTGAAAACACATATTCAGTCTGAGGCCGAGTCCACACGTAGCCGGGTTTTTTTTAAAACGAATACCCGCCCCTCCAAAAACTTGCATCCACACCATCTCGTTTAAAAAAAAACTCTGTCCACACGTACCCGGATAAATACGTTGTTAAGGACATGCCAGACCTGTAGGCGGCAGTACTTCCCCCGTTCTTAACCTCGTCCTTCGTCTGTGGTCTTCCGCAAGGAGCAGTAATTCCGCTTGCAAAAACAAACAAGCAAAAAGCGCTTGGACAATTGATAAAGCGAGCGCAGCTCCGAGGGCATCCATGCTGTCGGCTAGTGTAAACACAGGTCGCACACGTGATGTCAGCATTTTTTGTCGCGGAAAGTGACGTTGCGGACCTTAAAACTCCGGTTTTGTCCGTCCACACGCAGACACCCAAAACGGAGAAAACGCAGATCTTCACTTTGGCCGGAGTTTTTAAAAAGATCCGTTTTCATGTGAAAAAAACTCCGTTTTCGTGTGGATGACAGGCCAAAACATAGAAAAATATCTACGTTTTGGCAGATCCCCGGCTACGTGTGGACAGGGCCTAATACAGATGTGGACAAAGTTGTTGGTACCCTTCGGTCAATGAAAAAATGCCCACAATAGTCACAGAAATAACTTGAATCTGAGAAAAATAATAATAAATAAAAATTCTATGAAATCTACCAATGAAAGTCAGACATTGCTCTTCCATCATGCCTCACTGGAATTATTTACAAAAATAAACTCATAGAAGAGGCCTGGACAAAAATGATAGTACCTCTAAAAAAAGACAAGGGGGCAAGTTAATTGAAGTTGTGTCCTCTAATTGGCATCACAGGTGTCTACAATCTTGTAATCAGTCCATTTATAGGGCTCCAGGAAGTCACTGTGTTTGGAGACGTGGTGTGTACCACACTCAACATGGACCAGAGAAGGTGAAGGAAAGAGTTTTCTCAGAATATTAGAAAACAAATTATAGACAAGCGTGTTAAAGGTAAAGGCTATAAGATCATCTCCAATCAGCTAGATGTTCCTGTGATTACAGTTGCACATGTTATTCAGAAATTTTAAATCCATGGGACTGTAGCCAACCTTCCTGGGTGTAGCTGCAGGAGGAAAATTGATGAAAATCAAAGAGAAGGATAATCCAAGTGGTAACTAAAGAGCCCAAAAAACCTTCTAAAGAGATCCAAGGGTAACTTCAAGCTCAAGGAACATCAGTGTCAGATCGCACCATCCGTGGTTGTTTGAGCCAAAGTGGACTACATGAGAGACGACCAAGGAGGACACTATTTTTGAAAACGATTCATAAAAATGCCAGACTGGAATATGCCAACCTACATGTTGACAAGTCACAAAGCTTCTGGGAGAATGTCTTAAGGACAGATGAGACATAAAGGGAACTTTTTGCTGAGGCACATCAGCTCTATGTTCACAGATGGAAACATTAAGCATATCAAGAAAAGAACTCTGTCCCAACTGTGAAACATGGAGGAGGCTCGGTTATGTTGTGGGGCTGCTTTGCAGCATTTGGCACAGGGTGTCTTAATCTGTGCAGGGTACAATGAAACATCAAGACTATCAAGGTATTCTAGAGAGAAATGTGCTGGCTAGTGTCAGAAAGCTTGGTCTCAGTCGCAGGTCATGGGGTCTTGTGACAGGACAATGAACTAAACCACACAGCTAAAGACACACAAGAATGGCTAAGAGGAAACCATTGGACTATCCTAAAGTGACCTATGACCTCAATCCTATTGATCGTCTTTGAAAGGAGCTGAAACATGCCATCTGGAAAAAGTGCCCTTCAAACCTGAGACAAACGGCAGCTGTCTGCCAATTAGGAGTGGGCCAAAATACCAGCTGAGAGGTGCAGAAATCAATGTCTGACTTTCATTGGTTAAATTTCATATAATTTTTTTTTACTGTTGTCAGATTCAAGTTATTTATGTGACCATTGTGAGATTTTCATTCAATGAGCAAAGGGTACCAACAATTTTGTTCATGCCTATATCTAATTCTATAAACTGTCAACTTTTCACATATTTATTATCAATATATTATCTTTACATGTAATAATTGTTCAATGTGCATATAAAATATGTTTATGATGTCCTTGTTCTTTAGAACAGTGTGATTTATTAGTAAAGCCTGAGTTTTTTTTTTTTCATAATCAACAGAATGTATTTTTTTTTCTGGCTCACTTATTTCTTGAATTAAAATCACTCTTAAGGGAAAAACAGAAGTCAAATGAAAAGTTAAGACTTTTCTAGGTAGAGTCGACTGTGCTAAGGGTCCAGTCACCTCCAGGGACACCGTCTAGACATGAACCACGGATCAAAAGCCCTGTAAGAGGTTCCTCCTCACCTCAGCTCAGCCTAGAGGTGTCACACTCCGCAAGGCCTTTGAATGTCAGCAGCCAGTCACTCAGAGACAGGTAAACCCCCTCACTTGGTCAACATCTTACATTTTATTGAACAATTCAAATCTAAGTGGACTTTCATAAATGCGTCTGTTCAATTGTAAAATATTGCAGTGACCAAAAAGCATATTTATTTTCACCACACAGCAGCGTCACGTGCATTTTATACCAACAGTCACATAATTATTAGGGATGCACCGATGGATCGGCATTTGATCCCAATCGGCCGATAGCACCCCTATCGGTTTTGATCGGAGTTTTCAAAATAGATCAAAGCAGACGATCAGCAGCCCATTTTAGATTAGGTTACATTTCCTTTATTCCCAGATTGTGTAGTTTGTAGCACTCATTATAATGTTGTAGAAAATTTCTGGCCAATCCACGTGATCGGTATCGGTGATCGGCAGCAAAAAACCTGATCGGTGCATCCCTAATAATTATCACGCCCATCAGAAATGATTTGTACACCTGATGCTGAAAACCAGACTGACTGTTATCTCTGTCACACCCAGACATCAGCAGCGGTCCTAATCCCACTTTTTTGTTGTATTTACTGATTTTGTCAGGATCCATCTGTGTACATAATTTGCGAATGCGCAAAAAATCTTGAAAGCAAAACCGGCACCTGTGTGAGCTCCCAATTATCATGTGGAACAAATATAAAGCCTTCCCACGAGGTGCTCTATCCACTGCTGCTGCGGTGCACGTCTCTGTGCGCACACACACACCTAATCTTTAATTTTGATCACACTCGATGGCCGGGATGAATTCCCCTCAACCTTTTAGATTACAGAGGCTGATGTCTTGTCATGTTTGTTCATTACTGGCAGAGAAGAGAAAACAAAGAGGAAATGGTATTGATTGGTGTTTCAGCTTGACACTGATGCATTTGACCTGATGTACACTTGAATACGCTCAGAGAGACCTTGTCATCAATCACAGCCGAGGCAAGCGTAACACGCCGATGGGACCGGCGTTCCGTTCTGTTTGTTTCTGCATCTGTGCTCCCCTCCGCTCAGTCCATAAGTAAACATTAAAATCAATAGACAATCTTAAACTGAACAGCAAATTGCAGGAAATGAATGATACTTTTCTCTCAATTGGAGGCGCGACAGGATTTGCCGGGCAGGAGATTAGAGTTGGCCTTAGTAGATTCCCTCCGACGGGGAAAGGGACACGTCTTTGCACGGATCTTTGATGTAGAAAGAAAATGACAGATGCCAGTGGTGGCTCTTGGCCCTCTAAGCCTCGGAGTCTCAGTCTATTCATGTCTCTATATGATTTGTCCTTGATGACTTTTTGAAACAGGTAGTGAGTTTATCTGATTAGCGATGAAAAGCTTCTGTTCTGACACTTAACTGCCGGACCAGGACACAAGTCAGCCTGTCAGTCATCTTTCCTCCACTCTACAAATAGACAGGGATGAGAGGCAGTATGGTGCGCGTTAAGCTTTGTCTATTACATCCTGACAATGTATTTCTATAGAGCACGGGCAGGAGATTAGAGGGAGAGTTTAGACTTTTTGGTTTAAGTTATTGGAGCGGTTAAGTATTTCTTTGTGTTTGCATGCAACTAAGTAAATGATATTTGAGGTTCATATTTGTTTTATTAATGGTATTAAGCTGAGTATGTTACCGCTTTATGCAAATGTTTCAGATAGTTTAGTATTTAGTTCTAAAGAGGTTTACTGACTATTTCCACAGATTATGTAAAGATTATTCTAATTTGAGTACTTATTTGTATTTTACACACAAAGAAGTGGAATGTTACTACAGAAAGTGGGACTCAAAACTCTTAAAGGGACAAATGAAGCTTCATCCTTGACCGGACGCCTGCAGCTTTCCTTAAGGAGTAACCAGTCTAGTTCAAAACCCACTCATCCAAGTCCTTAGCTCATATTTCAAAATTCAGAAGCAAAACTCAGAATGATAATCCAGACGCAATGGGCTATTTTAATGGTTGTTTATTATCATTAAGCTAAGGTTATAAACCGCATCCGGTCCCACTCCTTATCTTTGGTTATAGCGCAGACTAGTGGACATAAGTGGCACCTACCAGAACGGCTCAGTAAAGCAGAGAAAAGTTGGAAGTGTTTCTCAGTTCTGATGCCTTTTTGTTATACCCTAACTTACTTGTCAAATATTTTTTTTTCTCCCAATATAAGACACTTAAGTGATTGTATCTGTGACCCACCTCATGCAGAGGCAGGGTAAGAGAAGCAGTATGAATTATTCTCTGAACTGTAATCACATTGCTTTGTGGTGAATCTTTTCCCTCGTGTTTGGGAGAGGTATGTCCCTGGACTACAGCAGGACAATCTGATGGGTAATTATCATACAGATGTGACTAAAATCATTCTGTTCTATAAACTAGGCCTACGTATTTGCCTGCTCCAGAGCTAAACATTCAGTTGAGTGCATCTCTGTTGAGCTCTGCAGAAGCCTGGTAATGAGTCATTCATTTCAGTTAGATGTGTCAAAGTACATGTGCAGCAGATGGGATCAGAAATGGGAAAATATGGACAGAACACACGTTTCTGGGTTTATATTAACTCATCTTAATGTGGTTAAAATTGTCTCTTTTTCAGATTTCAGAACAGTCCCTCCTATTGGGAGCAGATCCATAGCAGGGTTGAAAGGATTCTGCAGACGCACCAAACCACCTGGAGCCACTGAAGCCGAACCCTTTCGCCCAATAATGTGACTGAACAGTCAAGATATCAACAGTGTTAATAGGACAGCAGTCTGCTTCACAAACACTTAATCACACTAGCACCAGATTAAACACATTTAAACAAATCTTCACGTGATTTTAAATTCCAGACATTCCCAGCACAAGTTGCTTGTTTGTCCTCGTTACTCTGAAACAGCAGGAAGTTTGTGGAGGTTATGTTCAAACGTGTAGCAACACAGCTCTCCTCCCACCCATCAGCTGGGTCGTGCTTTAAAAAAAATCCCCAAACTAAGCCGTCGTCTAATTTCTCTAAAGCTGTCTGAAATTGGCTCGAGTATATAGAAGCAGCATTTTGTGTGTGTGGGCAGGAGACGTGTCGGATGTAAGCTGCAGCTGTTAGGGGCTCGTCTCTTGTTACACACAGGTAGCGAAGAACCACCGCCGGGAGCCCTGGGCTACGGGAGACTTGAGAAGATTTGAGGAGGAACAAAAGTAATCCTGAATGAGAGGAGAAAGAATTCAAGCCTTCAGCTTCTTGGTTTAACACAAAACATCATCCGTTTGAACTTTGTCTCTTGTTCATTTGTATTGATGTGTAATTCAGCCTGCAGGGCCTTATCGTCACATTAACTACACCTCAGAAGATTTTAAAATGACACTAAGGACATTGTTTTACAGCAGTGGATAATTACTATTAATCATGAAAGGACAAATTATTTCAATTTTCTTTAAAAGCAAAAAAATGTTTCTGCACCTGTCACAGACTAGTGAGCTGGACATAAACCTTTAATATTCTAAATCTGAACAGGTTACCTTCATAAACATGTTTTCTTATTCTGCATTTCAGGACTTTTATGGTTTAAAATCCAGCTTCAGGACTGAAGTCCAGTGTTCCAAACATGATCCTCCAGATAAACCACTTAGTCAAGAATGGTCACAACAAACATATTTTATCGAATGATTTCAGAGCATTTCTTCTTGTTGCAGCCGTAAACAGTTTATGCCGGTGTAGTCTGTAGAGTTTTAAATGATTGGGATTACATGTCAGTATTTAGGTGTTCAGCTTCACTTCTTATGGAATTTATTCTTCTTCTTGTTCCTCTTGCCAGCTCCGTGTGCTGCTCGTTCTGCCATTATCTGCTGATACTTCTTTTTGTTTTTGCTGAAAAAAGAGAAGGAAATGTTTGAATTTGGGTTTTTAGGTGTTTCACACAGGAATCAGACTGCACTTCACAGGACACCTGATTATTTTAAAGGGTCAACTAGATTTTATTACAACAAACACCTGATGAGTTACATCTCAGGAAGGTTATTGATGGCATTGAAAATATTTCCCTGTGTGCCATTTCTACAAGATGCCACCTTTCTTTAGTGAGGCTGAGTAAAAGTGTCCGGCTGATATCCACAAAACTAAATGTGTTCATTCAGATTTTAATAAAGCAATAAAAATAAATCTTTGCACTGTGGGAGTTTGTCTTGGCAGTATTAATCTAATCTGTAATATATTAAAGGCAGCTGATGTACTGCAGGGTGTGACTGGGACACCAGCTCTTTACCAGTACTTAGTTTGTGTTTAATCCTCTTGCACACGCTTTAATCCAAAGGGATTTACAGTTTATTCTAACTGCTGTGGGACCAAACAGAGCTAACCACTGTTCCACCAGCAGTCTAATTACAGCACTCCTTAGTGCCTTTGGGCAACACATCACCCACCTGAGTAAGTTATGTTGGACAAAAGCACTTGCCAAATGCATAAATGTTTATTTTGAATATTTAAAGCTTCATGCTGGTAATAAATTCACCAAGAACTTTTTTCTTCTAACTTCTTTTGTAAAAGTCAGAAATGTATGACACAAGTAGTGTGCTGTATATAGTAGGGATGCACCGATGGATTGGCATCTGATCGTAATCGGCCGATAGCGCCCCTATCGGTTTTGATCGGAGTTTTCAAAATAGATCAAAGCAGACCGATCAGGTAGGGTTGTCACGGTAACCGGTGTAGCGGTAAACCCCGGTAAAAAAAAAAGTTGACAATAATAACCGTCTTGTTTTTTAAAAAACTATATTATCTTAGTGGATTACCGTGGCTGCGGTGTAGGCGCGGTGACCCTTACCAGCCACCGTATCATCTGCTGAAGTTGCCGGCGGCACATGCACGCTTTGTTGTTTACAACCAAAACTTTCTTGAAGCTAAAGCTGAAATAATGGTCAAAGGAGGAGACGGCAGTGCTCAGGACATTTATTATCCCTCAAAGAAGACAAAGTCGAAAGTACGGGCATCTTTTAGATATTTGAAGAATGCCGAGGGACAGCTGATAGAAGATGGCTGTCCTGTTCGCAGCAGCAGAAAAAGTGTCTGTGAAAGGCAGCAGCGCTTCAAATCTCATGACACATCTGCGTGACCATCACCCACAACTCTACAGTCAACGCAAGGCAAGCTAACGTTAGCGTTTTAGCTAAAATGCGTGATCCGAGGATTTGGGTTGAGGGAGAATGCAACGAGTCGCTATATAAAGCAGCCGCAGCGCCGCTACCTGCATATTAGCCGTGTCGCGGACACCTCCATGTTGAAATGACGCTATGCATTACGGGGCTCCCAGGGGCAGATAAGAGTTGGTCTGTCTCCGAGAATAATTATAAATTTAACAATGATTACTGCCTGATGACATTTTCCCAAATCTGCAAAGCTCACTGGAAGGACACAAACCGAGGACAATATTTTCCTGATATAGGGTTTATTACTCAAGTAAGGGTAAAAAAGTATCTGATTAGAAGGCTACTTGAGTACTGAGTATCGTCTGAACTAATATTTTTAAATGATGACATCAAATGGACAAAAAATAAGAAGTTATGGGCAAATATTGGGGAAAAATGTAAACAAACAACATAATTACAAAATAACACATTTTAGGCTAAATTTAGACACAAACTGAGGACAATATTTTCCTGATATACAGGATTTATTTAGTTGTCTGAAAATGTAACACGTTTAAAAAAAATGCCGCGATAATACCGAAAACCGTGGTAATTTTGGTCACAATAACCGTGAGGTTAAATTTTCACACCGTGACAACCCTAATACAGACCATTTTAGATTAGGTTACATTTCCTTTATTCCCAGATTATGTAGTTTGTAGCACTCATTATAATGTTGTAGAAAATTTCTGGCCAATCCACGTGATCGGTATCGGTGATCGGCAGCAAAAAACCTGATCGGTGCATCCCTAGTATATAGTTATTATAGTTTATTATTTTCATCCTGCGGAGGTTGAAGCTGAGATCAGTTCAAATTAAACTGCGTGACGTTCGTCTAACTTACTGTCTGAACTCTGCATCAGCCAGCAGCTCCTCCACCATGGTTCTCTTCCTCTCCTTCTTAGGAATACGGGAATGATAAAAGTCGGCTGGGTTGTCCACCACTGTGCCAATCTGCAGTGTGAAATCACAACAGCCACAGCTTGTGTTGGTTAACCAAACTGCCAACATATTTGGGGAATTGAGCATTTTTCTGTTAGAAGTCAGAATGTGAGGGATTACACTGACCTGGAAATATTTGGGGAAGCCATCTCTGTCGTTCTTCTTGTAGAACCTCTTGCGATCCAGAGATCCTCTCATCTTCAGGACTTGGAGGTCTCCCTTCAGCTCCTGCGTAAGCTCTGGGGCTTTCATATTAAACCAACCGTCTCCTGTGGATTTCTCCCTCTCTGCCTGGAGGAAAATCAGAGACAAGGACATCAGTGATTTTAAAAGAACACAAAAGCAGCTGTGATGACTGCATCCCTGAGGAGGGTTAGAGGATAAAATGCTTCATTACATTTATGTAGACTTTCTGCAACTTACTCTGTGTTTGAGCTTCAAGGCATTTTTCGATTCCCTATATGGAGGCACTGCATCCTTCTTTTCAAAGTCTGGTCCGATTACACTTTTCTTCATCACCTGTAGATAAAACTAAAAGTTGCAACACAGAGCAGCACAGCATTCCATCATACATGCTCAATGACTCGGAAAGAAGAAGGTCAAAGTCAAGATAACTGGACAGAAACTATAAAAACTTGAAGTTCATAATTCATTCTTCGCCTCAGATCACCTTCACAGAGAGAAAGAGGAAAAAAATCAATCTCTAATTTACCTCATCGTGGTTCTTCTTCTCCTTTAGCTTTTGCAGTGAACTGGAGACGGGTTTTGATTTGCTGCCATCAAAACTGATGTACAAGCCCCCGAGCTCCTTCACTCTGATGCCGGGGTCAATACGGCTGGACAACTCTTTCCTGAAATTAATAGGTGGAAAGAAAAATCCTTAGGAGCAGCAGTCGTGTCTCATTTCTCACCTCCGCACGTTTAGAATATTCTAGAGCAGATTTTTTATAAAAAAAACAGTGAAAAGATCAACAGTGGGCAGACGCCTTCATCAATCTGATCTGCATATAAAACAGCTGTTAAAGCCCACTCAGCTAGACAAATGTTTTTTTAGCTTGTCCCATATTCAGTGTTGTGGCATAAAGCACCCAAATCAAGCAATAAACTGGTCATTATGTGGAGCCGTAAACAACCCCCAATGTGGTGCAGATTCAAAAAACAACAACAGTCAGTGGGCCTGTAACAAATGAAAACCATTTAATGGCTATTATCTGGGATAATGCTGCTCATGTCTGCATGATCATCCACGTTTTCCTGCAGAACATCTGAGAGATTCCACATGTGCTTTGCAGCGTGAGAGAAATGTAAACACAAATGCATTTAATCTTTTTAAAGAGCTTTGGGGTTTGTTTGTTTTTACCCTCAAATGTGTCTTTCCCTTTTTACTTTCAGAATCTTTTATAATCTAAAAATCCACCCACAAGGTTTTTCCGATACAAACTAGTCTGTTTGTTTTCTAAATCGTCAAGAAACTAGTTTGATTTTAATGTCTTAATGAGTTTTTTATGCGCTGCGTGAATTTTTAAGCAGAGCAGAAACAAAGTGACTCCATTTGATGAAAACCTCTCGGCTCTGCAGTCTGAAGATGCACAAAAATCTGTAAAACACTTAAGTAAAAAAAAAAAAACTAAAGTACGGCTGCAGATCCACGTTTATAGAAAGCGTGTAGAAAATCATCTTCTGTACTCACATGTGAGAACTTCTACATGATAAGAGGATATTTGTGTCCTCGTCATCATCATCATCTCCCTCTTCATCCACAAACTCCTCCTCTTCCTCCTCCTGTTCAGTCCTTTTATTGGAGGCCTCCTCTTCCTCGCCCCTGTAGTATTGTTCGTCAGCGTCCTGTCCGGGACGAGTGTCGATCATAAACAAACCATCAACTGATGAAGATGCTGCTTCTAACTTATGGGGAAGTGTTTTCTTCTCCTCTTCCTCTTCAGACATTTCACTCTCCCTTTCTTCATCAAACTCATCATCATCATCGTCGTCGTCGCTGCTGTCCAACAGGCTGATGGGTTTTGTTCTGTGAGCATCTTGGGCCTGCTGCTCAGAGTCTTCTGAGATCGTGTGCTGCTGGTTGGATGTTTGGCCCTCAGCCTGAACTTCACAGATGTCAGCCACCTGCTGAGCATCGGTCGTCAACGTGCCGACAGCTTCCTGCTCCACATCGAGGCCCGTTCCAGCAGCAGCTTCCAGCTTCTCTCCAACCTCCTCTGTCATCTCAGAGGCCCTTTCACATATCGTTGCCGTGGCAGCCTGGCTGGGCTGTGGATGCTCTGATGGAGGAACTGCTTCCTGCATCATTTCCTTCTCTGAGGCATCTCTGTTTTCATCTTCAGCAGACGGCTCCTCCTTCTGGTCTTTGATGATCGCTGCAGGCTCACTCACAAAAATGGATGCAGAAATTCCCGCATGGTAACTATCTTCAGGGATGCTGGTGACCTCCTCGTTTACATTATTTATATCTACTTCACTGGAAGGTGGTTCGATCTGATCTTCTTCCAACAGAGTGCACTCGGCATCATCTCCAACCATTGTGCTTTCTAACATGGAAGTATTTAGTGAACTGTCCATAGCTGATTCTTCTACAACAACGACAGATCTCTTTGCAGATCGTCTTGACGCTGGAGCCCCGCGGCTGCTGGTCCCTGAACCTGCACGGCTGCTGCAAGGTGTCCCTCTGCTTCGGGTGGAGCATGGGCTGCTCACCTCTGAATCTGAATCCACGAGTTTGCCACCTGAGGACCGGCTTCTGATCTTTTTAAAAGGGCTTAGACTGTAACAAGGTCCAGACTCAAATCCTTCAGAGTCACAAGACAGGGCTTTGGAAACATCTGCAGGTGCTGCTGCCTGTGCCCTGGCTGCTCTGGTTCGTCGATGTATTTGAGGAGAATGCGGACTCTCTGACAGCTCGTCTAAGTGAATGGGAGCAGCACGTATTTGCCTCGTTGACACCCGCCTTGAGATGCTGGAGTTGCAGCTCTCATCTTCTGAGAGCTCAGATTCCACGTTTTGTTGCTTGACAGATCTGGTGAGAGCAGTTTTCCCCTGACTTCTAGTAACTCTCTGGGATGTGGATGCTGCAGAGCTGCAGGATGCCGTCTCGGGCACCATGTCAGTTTTGACATCAGAACTTTGAGAAGCCGTTTTTCTTCTTGTGCTCCGAGTGGCTCTCTGTGCAGATTTAGATGCTGACACAACAGAGGAGCATGACTCCACTTCAGATATCTCCTCATTTTCCTGATGTCTCTCTTGGGTCAATCTTCTCCCTCTGGTCCGTGTTACAGGAAGCTCAGAGTTAAACACTAAGGAATAGACGGACTCCACGTCAGACAGGTCAGCCTCGTGAACAGAGCCCACTGGGGTGGAGGGCTGCTCTGGACTGTGGAGTCTGGAGGCTCTGGTGCACCTTTTCTTTGAGGAGACAGGAGCTTCCAGGAGTCCTTCCTTCTGCTCATGCTCTCTGCAGGACTCTCCCAGCGTCTGCTGGGATGGGCACTCTACCTGTTTAGCTGTGCTCCTGGTTCTTCTACCTGTGGATGGGGTGGCCTGTGAGGCAGGATAATGTTATTAGTAAGAAATCACACTCTGCCTTCTTGTTGAGCAATCCAAGTAAAACCAACTTAAGAGTCTTTTTTTCTCTATTCAATAGCTTCAGAAACTGGGTACATTTAAAAATAAAAACATTAAATAGAAATAAGTAAGTCAGATGTCATTTACAATTACAGCCAGGGGCGGACTGGCCATCTGTGGATTCTGGAGAAGATGACGTCAAAGTAGTTGATTGGCTGAACATGAAGCTTACGGAAGTTACGTTATCACGTTATGATTTTGAATGGTCCGAACAAATTTGCTGTCGTAGTCTTAGCAGTTGTAGTTCTGTAGTCCAAAAATCAACACTTTTTGGAGAAAATATGTTTGAATTTCTAAAGGAAATGTAAAATATAAGCAAATGATAAACGGTGACCCTCAAAAGCAGGGGGGCTGAGAAGGCAAGAGAAAATAAATTGCGGGCATTAGATGCTGAAGCCTCTAAATGTCACAAATTAACTGACATATTTAGCAGCACAGCCAGAAGCAGCACCTCGCAGCAGGTTCACAGCAGTGAAGAAGTCAGGCAGATAGCTACACAGCAACATGCCAGCAGTAAAGAGGGACAGAAAGATGCGCTGGTTCCTCGGGCAGATCCAGGGGAAGTAAGTATGGAATGTAAGAGGAGAAACATTTGCAAGGATTGCAATTTTATTTTATGATAACAGCAAATTTTCAACAGTTTAACTGTAAAGGGCCACATGTAGTGGGTAATAAGAAATATGTTGTGGTTTTACGTTAAAAGGTTGGTAGTAGTGTTACAGTTAATGCTCACAAACTTTGAAAATCTTAAATACAGAAGTTAAATTTGTAATGTTGCATTTTCATTTAGATGTGGTATTATTTGTGCAGTAAGAAGATCAATTACTGCATATATTATGAAGCTTATCAGTAATACAGCTTTTAATACAACGTATAGTCAACATTAGCACTGTTGCTATAATTTTGATGGTTTGACCACATATTTTTGCTGCCGAATTTCCGCGCGCCGATTACTTTGGGTCGGCGGACCTGGTCAAAGTCCAGGGCTGTTTTTTAGTCCCAGTCCATCCCTAATTACAGCCCACATCTTCTTCAATGCACATCTACACCAGTGACTGAGGAGAGAAACTACTATTAGAATGCTTTAAGGTTTAAAGTTTTAAATGTAAATTAAATAAAAAACAACAGAAACTGGACTACTGAATGCTAATAAAGGCGATTTCTAATCCAGCACTGATCACCTGTTTTAGTTTTATTTGTGTGAATAAAGTAGACCGGATATGTAGTTACTAACAACTTGAGGCTCTTCAATTGATTTTTAATTAACTGATTAAAAGTAAACTCACGCAACAACCTCTTATCCGCATTAACCATTGACTAACAAACTGTTTATTCAGCACGGCCTGTTTTTGTTAAACTACTGAAACATTTACAGAAAACTGGTGCTGTGAGACCACGTGACGTTCCAGCAGCTCCGCTGCCCCCTGACACGTGGACGCTTGTAACTCCTCACAGATTAAACCAAACCTGACCTCTAAATGTCCGCAGCTCGTCTGTGTTTTACACGTACCTGGGCTGCAAGTGGCTCTTCCTGATTTGTTGTATTTGAAGAGTTTACGCACGCTCCTCTCCTGGTGGCCACCATCTTGGACGCGTTAAACTTCTTTTCACTTCCGGCTCGACTCTCAGGCTAGTTAATCGATAGACGAAAAGCGTAGGCCGAGTAGACGAAAGCAGAGACCATTGTGACTCCTTTACTTCTTCACCCGAAGTCAGAATAATCTTCGTTCGTTTCGTTTTTTTCATTCAATCAATCAAATAAAAGTTACATTAAAACAATTCATGTTCACAAATAATCATAAATGAAAAGGAGCAGAAAGAAGCAAAAACTTATATCTGCCCCCTTTTCACAGCAGTTCAACTCAAAAGAATTTCGTTCATCTAACCACTACCCCAACACAAAACAAGTCAGTAGCGGTTTTAGGCACGGGCAGACAGGGCAGTTGCCCGGGGCGGCATTTTTTCATGACACAAAAGGGGCGCACAAGCGCGGAGTAAAAAAAAAAAAGGAAATCTGCGCCGCACCGAGGTTTTCTATTATCTGTCTTATGACAGTGTCTGGATTGGAAACGGCAAGTTGGCGCCCCCTGCAGTTGCAGGCGCTCCTGCTGACTGAGAACGTTCACGTGCTCCGTGTGTCTAAAGAACAGGAAGGGGAGGGGTGCGGCGGGGGAATTCACCTCTGCGTCTTTCCCAAATGAAATGAGCGTGCAGGGGCTGAATCAACTGTATTAACATGGCTAAAGTCAATCACATCTTAACGTTCTTCCATATTTCATTCATAATATCATAAACACAGGCCTATCATTCTTTCAGGTTTCTCTGAATTGTGTGAAATGGCCGAATAAAAAAAGGAAAAACAAAACGATTTTGTGGTCACCCCCCATTAAGGTCAAATAGTTTAGTCCTGACTAAAGGAAACTTACTGAGTCAGGAGACAAACAGAAGAGATGAACATAAAAAGGCTAAAACCACCAGGTGCCCGATTCAGGGGAAAAAAAGAAAAAAGAGCAGAAAGATAAAGGTATGTACGCTCTCATGATGCATGTTTTCAATTTTTTGAACCAGTTAACTGGGATTTTAACGGTTAAATGCGGTCAACTAATTGCTAACAGAGCTAATAGGGCTGAAATATTTAAACGAATATTCAAATGGTTTGAAAAAAGTCCTCGAATCGTTTTTTACTGATTCAAACTAGGATTTGTTAAATGCTCACTGCAGCCCGTGGCCTGCCTGAAAAACAACAAACACATGTTGATCATGTTCACATAATAATAAATAAAACAACTCTACAAGCAGAAGAAAACTTCCCAGTCACCACTAACTATCCTGTTTATTTATTGCAGATGGCTGCACTGATTGTTTTTTACATGATTTGTTCTGTAAAAGTTGGCATTTTTGGTAGTCTACAGTTTTTTATGTCAGTTTAAATTACAATTTCAGAGGCAATTCTAAAATATTATGGATCATGATAAAGATCTATTGGAGATCTACCCCAACTTTTGGACTGCTCTGTCAGTCACTGTGGCTCAAGCTGAGAGGAGCTTTTCAAAACTTGATCAAGTCATACCTGAGGTCACCTAGGTTTCAGGGGCGGCTCACTAACCTGGCTCTGATTAGTATCAATCACTCAGTGGGGGAGCAGATTTCATATGATGACATTATTGATGACTTTGCATCAAGGTTAGGTTTTAAATTTAGTTTGTGTTTTCTATTCTAAGTGCAATGCTGTAGTGATTATCTTTAGTTTGTTACGTGTGAAATATTTTTGCTATTTAGAATATTTATTATCTATTATGTTCATATATTCTTAATATTTAGTTATTGTTTGTTTTTGTATATTTGATTCTATATATTTTGATACAGTATATAATGTATAGTGCTTTACATTCTGACAACTTCATAGTAATTAATGTAAATATGTGCAACTTAGAAAAATGAATGTTCAATAGTCGTTCTAATAAAACATGCCTGTTTGTAGAAAACATGCGTGTGTTCATGCAGGTGGGGTGGTGTGGTGGTGGTGGTGGTGGGGGGGGGGGGTTGGGGGGGGGGCGCTCAAAGGGGGCCTCGCCCGGGGAGTAATTCGATGTAGAACCGCCACTGAAACAAGTCATTCAGCCTACTTATGGTCTTATAATCTTGTAATGACGATCAGGAAGCATCTCAAAATTATGAGAAACTGTCAAAACTATTAATTGCTCAAACATCTGAATTACAATTTTAATATACTATTGTGGCAAGGTGGATAAACGAGGGCCTGGGCGGGATTCGATTTCCAGACACTTGAGTGAGAGTCATGTGCACTAACCAGTCAGCCAAAGGGACATCCGCCTAGGTGAGGTAGCCAGGGCGCATTATCAATTGGAACACTGTGAAAGGACGCTCACACGATTTCTTAATTATGAAAAACATTTAGGGTGGAGGTTGATATACTGAGATCTTTTTACTTCAAACTTACAGAAACGTCTATCCTGACACCATTAGGATGTCATTTTACATAATTGTATACATACTTAGATTTCAATCAAGTGCGGTAAACATTTAAGCATTTTTTTCCTCAGTTCAAGTTCAAAGTTTGTTTCACATTTATCTATTTTTAAATCTAAATGCTGTTTGGGCTGAGACCAAATAAAATAAGACATTTAGATAATTTTATTAAAGCCAATTCATGATATACAAATATGACATTTTAAATATGAGTGCATTACAGAGTGTTGGAGGCTTCACTGGACCATGTCTAAAAAAAACAACCATTTGCTAAAACAAGAAGCGTTCCCATCAAAACTAATTCAATCTTCCACCTCTGAGTGTGGACTTTCCAGTGCAGTTATGACAACATATAAAGGACATCAGCCTGTTCATTCTAATATTGCTTTACAGTCACTAAAATTAACTTGATGAGCATCAAAGTGAAACGTCCTGATGTGATGCCTCGTCTAATATTCAGTCAGAAAATACTGATTAGAAAAACGTACACACACATGTGTATGTATGAATGTGTATGTGTGTATATATATATATATATATATATATATATATATATATATATATATATACACACATACACACATGGATAAACTACCAGTTAATCTACATCAGCCTGAATCAAGATATAAGCAAAACTACACATTTTCAAACCGTACACTAATTTCTTCTATTAAAGGAATGTTTTATAAAGCAAGTCCCAATTTTTGGCGTCTGTTTCCATTGGTTTTCTTTTAAAAAATTAACATCTGGTATTTATTCTTAGTTTGGTTTAATTTACAATGTTTCATTTAGACAGATTTAAAGCTGCCTTCACAGAGTGGAGAACAAGCAACTATGGAAGAGAGGCACTTTACATCAGAACACATTTCTACTTGGAACAGAGTTAAGCAGCCAACATTTTGAAATTATATTACAGTTTTTTTGTGTGTTTATAAACTACTTGTGGCAAAATCTGTTCAACTTCCTTCATAAATCTTCTTTATAAAACAGAAAGAGTTTGATCTGTTATTTCTCGTTCAATCTCACTACCTGCACCTCTTTAACAGAAAAAACCACAGATGTGGAAGAAATGACCCTATCAAGAAGATTTAACAGTGACTCGGAGACAGGGGCTTCTCTTATTCAAGGAGGAAAATGGCTTGATCCACGCGTCTTTTTCAGAGTGCTAGGGGCTGGCTCTCGTCGCACTGACGAGGTAGCCCTTGGACTTGATGATGCCTCGGCTCTTGACGATAACAGAGTAGCGGAGGACCCACTCCAGCCTCCAGTCGGTGATGTTCAGGTCCTCAGCTCCCTCTTGCATCGCTTCCCGGAATGTGGCAGCTGACATCAACTCTGCATTCATAAAAATATTCCAAAGGCAAAAAACATGACAAAGATATGTTTTTATTTCAGAACACAGACTGCAGTTGTTTCCTAAAACAGTCTATAATGCTGTAGTTACTTGCTTACATTTGTGTTTAAACTCATTAACTAGGGAGTAAACCCATTTCATTTCTAATTTCCTCTCTAAGGACCTTGCTTTCATGTTACTGGAAAATCAAGACTGCTTTTTTAAATTTCTGAATTTTATCCAAAGGATAATAAAAATCCTCACGACCATCTGGAGCCCATCCGAGTTTAGCTTTGAGAGTCAAAAAGTACAAGAAATATGAAAGAACTTTGGCAAGACCTGCGACTTGTGAGATTATGTTATGACTCATTATTCACGTCTCTCCCTCTCTCTCTCTCTCTCTCTCACACACACACACACACACACACACACACACACACACACACACACACACACACACACACACACACACACACACACACACACACACACACACACACACACACACACACACACACACACACACACACACACACACACACACACCATCCAGTTGTTGGTAATTGAACAACTAGCTTGAGGTATTCATAGAGTCGACTAATTGCTTCTAATACACTGTTAGCACTGTTAGCTCAATATTAGCCTCTAGCCTGCTTCACCTGATATTAGAGTAAAACAAAAATCTGCTCTGGCTTCTTAGGGATAGATGAAATAACTTTTGGGTCGTTTTTGTTACCGGCTTTGGTTCTTTAAACAATTCAGTAGCTTTTCGCCGGCTGTAGTTGAATTACAAATGCTGGCGCTGCAGGAAACACGGCAACCTCACACTCACTGGTGGTAAACAATAGCTACGTCTCTCCTTCCTTTATTTTGAAAGGAGAAAATCTGACAACCCCCACAGCTGGCTGAGAATTAAATATGTTTCAATATAACCTTCCTTCCAACACGATTGAAACATTAGACTGTTTTGGGATTATTTCACTGCAGAAATCTTACTTTATTCTTACACACTGCACTTTTAAATCTGCTATAGCAAATTTGGAAAACAAATTAGCTGTAAACATTATTTTTCATGCCTTTTAATAACATTCTAACATAGTATAATTATACATTTATTTTGATATATTAATAATATAGCTATAAATATATTGTATAGAAATGTTGTGACAGTTTCTTTTGCTGCCACTTGGCCAGGACTTGCTTGAAAATGAGGATTTTAATCTCAATGGGACCTTCCTGGTTAAAAAAAGAATGAATACATTTTAAAAAGTTGTAGAGATAAAAAAATGGAAAAAATTAATAAAGTGATTCTTTCGCATTTGTCCAAAAATATCTGCCAATAACACATTTTGGACTGATAGCAACTATTGGACCAAAAGAGTTCAAATGAAGGCAACTGGACTTCTTTGGATTCTTGAAGACGTTTAGCTTCTCATCCGAGGAGCTTTGTTGACCAGAATATGAGAGTCAACCTTGTAAGCTTCAGCACTCTATTGGATGAGCCATGGACTCCCCAGTGTCACCTATCATCGCCAACATTTACATGGAGGAAGTGGAAACCAGAGCATTGAACTCCTACAGTGGAACAACACCAAGCCACTGGTTCAGGTATGTGGACGACACATGGGTCAAAATTCTCATGGAGGAAGTAGAAGACGTCAACAAGCACATTAATGCCGTGGACAAGCAACAACCAACTGCCCTTCTTGGACTATGCTGTGCAAATTGAACAAGACGGAAGTCCACAGGAAATCAACTCACACAGACCAGTATTTGCATTTCGATTCACATCACCCACTGGAGCGTGTCTCCCTCCTGAGACACACGGAGAACTATAAATTAGGCTTAAGCTTGACTCTCCCATATTCCAGTCAGAAGTGACAAAGCTCCTCGGATGAGAAGCAAAACATCTTCAAAGACCAAAGAAGCCCAGCTGCCTTTGAACCCTTTAGATTACCATGACTTGGATGACTAAGAACCTTCGCCAGCAATTATTTTTGTGTCTCCAACTTGTCATTAATTGTCAGTAATCTGAACCTAACTGTTTTCTCAACAAGCCTGGATTAAGAATACAAATAAAACAATACATTTTCACCTTTGGGATCATTGTGTGTGAGCAGCTGGATGTCAAACTCTTTAGCGAACGCTGTGAGGTCAGGAGGCATCACACAGCAGGAAGCCAGGTTGACCTGATTACTGCTGGGCTTCACCTGGTAAAAGACGGACAATGTTAGATAGTACAGGCAATGATGTTATATCTAACATTATGCCCTTTGAGGTTAGATGTCTCCGTTTCAGACTCCAAAAGCGGGAGGTGACTGATCACCTACCTGAGCCCAGTTGTAGAGCTGCTCGAGCAGGTCTTTGTCCAGATCGGATGTGCCGATGGCTGCGATCTTCTGGCTCCTGACCAGACCCTCCAACTCCTCCCACACCCGCTGCAGATCAGCCAGAGTTTGGCTGTTGCCCTCCAGAGGCCCAGGTGGCACTATGATAACAGAGTCTAACTGGGACACAGCCAGCGTCTTACAGGCTGGAGGTGAGAAATAAACAAGGCGGTTCCTCAGAGATGAGTTCTGATAACAGTTGTAGGGTTTCAACAGAAAAATGACAGTTGAATCGTACCCATCTCCACTGCATCTCCGATAGCCGACTGACCCGACTCACACAGGAAGAGCTTAACTATAAAAAACAAAACATCGAAAATGACAACAAATCTCTAAATAGTTGGGGGGGTCCCTATTTTGCCTTAGCCCCTGAAATGCCTTGAAACAACCCTGGGTGTGAGGCTGAGTTTTGAAGGTGATTTGAATTGTAACAAATAAATAAATATTACATGCTCATAAATTTTTGCTTTATAAAGGTAAAAAGGTGAAGTGCTTTACAAGCACTTTTTTTGTTTTCTTGTTTTTCATGTGACTATTTTCATATCCTGTTCAGTCTCTTATCTTCCTGCATCTCCTCTCAGTTCTCTAGAAAAACTCTGTACCGACTCTTCTACTTTTACACCTCATGAGTTACTTTTGAACTCAGCAGACCGAAGGGATCTACGGACCGCTGAAATAGCGCACCGAAGCACAGGCAATGAGCTTCACAGCGGTGGAGCGCGTCAGGCACAAATAAAAGACAGAAAGTACCAGAAGATATGAGCAGGCACCAACGATCGTGTGTTAATTATATTTTTTTCGGGTGGGGCCACTTTGAGAATGTTACTGTACCCGTGTGCAGGACGCAGCTGCCTGGAGCACATGAAGGATCAGCGCTCTCCATCCTCCCTGCTCAAAACAATCCCCGGAACACAGTGACATATAAATAATGTAATATAGGTTGAAACAGGATCTTTGTTCAGACAACCCCCCACCCGGGTGCATAAGCTGAGGGCTTCTAGGGGAGCCCCTCACCCTTTCAGGAAAGCCGGGCTCCCCTTAGCTCCCCCGTAATTCAAACCTTGTCTGAACTCACTGGAAAACTAGGAGCACTGAACTAGAGACTGAACTACACCCATTGCACTGGAATTTAGTTGACTGTTTGGCAAATAAGAAGAAAAACATTTTTGTTTGCGCTGCCAAACATCTTCATAAAGGACTCAGTGGTCTCCTTTAATAACAGCACCTCAAATCTCATCTTTTCAGGCTGGATTTTCTGTGAACTCCTGATGATCGACGGCTTCTTTTCCTGCTGGTGTTTCCATCGTTTCTGTGTAGTTTTAGGCTCACTTGTTTTTCGTTATAATTTTTTCATTTGAATTTGATCTTTTCAATCAATCAATCAATCAAAGCTTTATTTATAAAGCTTTATAAAGCTTTAATGTGATCTTTTGTAAAATGTTCTCATTGTGCTTGAGAAGCTCCTTGTGATTTTAAACTCGAAAGGCTCTACAAAAAAAATAAACCCTCTGTAAATGAACAGTTACTACTCAGAACCATAAATACACTAACCTATTTAGATATGTTTGACATGTTGGGTTGTTGTCATAATAAAAACAAGCAGCACTGACCAGAAACCTTGACTTCCTCTCTTTCTTCAGGTGTGATGGCATCTGTGGCCTCAGGGATGGAGCAGACCAAAGTATCTGGGGAGTCCTGCAGGATAAGAGATGAATACAAACACAACATAAAAATCTGTTGTGATATAAAAGACAAATCTGACACAATCATGAAATGCAATCCTTATGTTGAGGAGATTTTAGAGCACCTACAGCAGCACTCACAACTCTTAAGTCTGTGTTTTATTTTAATTATAATGCTGGTCCTCATTAGCCTGGCAAAGCCAGACTAAATAAATATTTATTATTTATTATATTATATTACAAACTTTGCAAAGCAAGAATTTGGTCTAGTTCACAAGGCTAGGTCCTCATGTCTTTATTTTTTGTACTTGGGTTTATTTTTTAGAGTCAAAGGGATTCACCCTGGAGAGGTCACCGCAGAATGCTGCAGCTTTTTCACATTTTTTCCACTTATCACAACACTTTAATCTATAAATGTATTGTTTATACATAAACACAATCTGTTGCAACTACTTTAATAGAAAACAGCTCACATCTCATTTAAACCTGCTCACAAATGCATGCAATGGTTTTAGAAGTAATAGCTTACTGCCTATGTGTATACGCATGTACCCTTGTTATTATTTTTCTTCTAGTTAGTGCTTGTGCTGCTGTAGCAAGTGAGTTTCCCCACTGTGGGGATATTCTATGTTTCTCCAAGGGTATTTCTTTAAGAAACACATTTTGCAACACAGAATGTTCCATGTTACACACAGAGAGGGGAAACAGGAAGAGCTTGACCTTACAAAAAAGTGTATCAACAGTTTTGTTAGTGCGTTTGGTGAGAGAGGCTGAAGGCTAAAAAACAGGAAAAAGTTCAGCAGCCCATCAAATCCGACTTCAGTCTCTTTGGGTTGGAATTATTTACCATATTTATATACTTCAAAGATAAATACTTGAAGAAAATCTTTGAAACTTCTATTAAATAATAAAAATATATATAGAAGAAGAAAATATCATTTCTATAGCGCCTCTCAAGATAAAAATCACGAGGCACTCCACAAAAACAAAAAATTTAAAAATATGAAAAAGAATTTAGAAAATGGTTAAAAATATTTTTTAAGTGAGCAATAGCCTCACCCAGCCCCCCAGCTAACAGACAGATGCACATTTGGAATGAAGCCTTTGTCGGGCATCGCTGCTGCATGAACATTCATTCTGACAGCTGTTGTTCAGAAAACCTACAGGCTTCCTTTGATGTCCATCAGACGGTTTTACCTCAACAAGCACCAGAGCACAGCAGCATCAAAAAGAGCAACCCACTGACCACATTTCTCAGGCTCATGAAACAAAATTCTGCAGCCAGAAGCATCACAACCAAACATCACCAGAGGCGTCTACCCACCGTAGTTGATAGTTTCTTTGTGGACATCCAGTCCCTAAGGGTGGCTTGAATGCAGTCTCGAAGCTGCAAACAAAATTAATAAATCAAACACATGTACATATCCTGACAGCATGAGTCATTATGTGTGAGAAACAGGCCAAAAGCTATCATATCTTTGTAAAAACACTGCAGGTAGAAACAGGCTTGACCATAAATTAATCCACAGGGAAGAGTGCCAGACAACCCTTCCCTAGGCTGACATGTCAAATGTCTGTGATCAAAGACAAAAACTTGTTTCTGCGCTTTTTTTTTCAAATGAGTTTATTAGTTGTATATTTATTTTAGTATTTATTTAATCCTTTGATGCATGAATTATGAAATCTTCAATCATGATTTTCTTAACAATTTTTTCAGTCATCTTTGGGTGTGAATGAAACAAATTTCAACACATTTTTTGTAACATTTAATTATTTACAAATAATTTATTACATGTCCACCTCAGTGGACAGTGTGCATTCTGAACATGAAACATGTTGGTTTGACTTATTGACGTCCAAATGGAGGGGCTCAAATGCAATTATGTCTTCAACAGCTGTGCTTAATTAAAAAAAAACAATTTTGGGTACCTGTCCACTGTAGTGACCATTGTGCATCAAAGGGATATATTTATATTAGTATTTATATATATTTATGTTAGTATTTAGTTTGTCAGTGTTTACGCCAAAACAAGTACACTGTCGCTGAACACTGTGTCAAAAGTTATGTAAACCTTTGACCTTAATTGCAGCTGTTAAAAATATTAAAGTTACTTTGAACTAAGGCATGGCCAGCATAGAATATGCTGAGTCATGCTTCAGAGGGAAAATATGCAGACAATACTTTCAACAATGAATAAGCCAGCAAACAGCTACCTTAACTGAACCCTGTATGCCAAGAGAACAGTTTTTAACACTAAAGGAAACAGATGAGCTCATTTATTAAACTAACACGAGCACACTGTGTTAAAGTTGTGTTATAATAGTCTGAAATCATCAGCGTCAGTGAACCATCTCATCGTATGTGTCACAGATCACGTGGTTTATGTTTACTTTCCAACACCCCTCAGTGTTTGTGATGGTAGCCTACAATAATCCGTCATCACGTGTTTCACTATTTACTGTTTACATCAGGCACACGAGACCTTTTGATGAAACAGCTCCACATGAAAATGGCATGAAAAACGTCATTGCTCTTTCATTCTTCAAACTGGCCTCGTTCAGAATGAAACCATCAACAGCTAGTTAAATATTCAGCAGCTAAGCTAGCATGCTACACGGTGAGAGTACAGCTTTTAAATTGCGGAGTTATAGATTAGGTTTACCTCCTCGCTGGTGGAGCCCGGACACTTCTTCTTCATCCGACTTCGGTTGACTAAGTTCCCGGTGTGGAATCGGAGGGTTTTAGCTTGGTTCAGCAACAACTTCGACTCGGGGTTTACGTTTTGGGGATCCATGTGGGTTTTCGGTGGCAAAGCTAACAAGTTGCTAAAAAACGTTTGCTGCTCCGAAACGAGAACTGAAAGGATTAGCTTCTATAGCCCTGAATGAGTGAGTGTAGTCAGAGCAGGTGGGTTTAGAAACAGAAAACTCCGGACCGTAGTAGTCAGGATGACTTGCATTCACACCGACTGCTGGTTTTGGTGCCTCCCCAGTGGCTGATACCGGTCGGTCACGCCCACGCGGAGGGGTCATTCACAAGTTCTGTCACGTGCACTGTTCCCATTGGGCCACCAGGGGGCGATGCTGCATCTCACAGTTTGTATTTGCTAGACAACTATTGTACCTTGTACACATACTTATACTCCTGTCTGTGTGTATTTACCTGCATTATCTCTTTGTGTGTTTGCTTCCTTAACCCTCCCACTGTCTTTATGTGTGACCCCACGAGGAAACTTGACCATGGAGCAGGATTGATGGTTTATCCCTTGAGGTCCACGTAGCAGGGGTGAGGTGATGCTCACTCCTCACTCCTGCCACATGGACCCAAGGGATTAACCATCAATCCTTTTTATAAAACTTAACATTTTATCAATACATTCAATCTTGACAATAACATCCTTAGATTTGATTTGGATAGTGTGTTTGTATTTAATCTTAATAAAATGTTCCATATCTTTCCAAAATCCAGATGAGAGAGGACAATTATAAAATAAGTGTATAATAGTCTCTGAACCAGTATGACAAAAGGTACTTTTTTCATCCAGATCTTTGAACAATGATAATCTTTTATTACATGGATAAATATTGTGTAAAATTTTGAAATTAAGTTCCCTTATCTTGTTTGAAATACAGTATTGAAAGTGAACCATCCATGCTTTTTTCCAATTACAAACTGTGTGTTCCAGAAAAAACTTTCCTTTGGGTGCCACCGTATTAGAACAACATAAAACCTTCCTTATATGTTGATTTGAACATTTCTTGTCTAATAAATCAATACCCCCAACTTTTAGAGAAAGTATCTGCAAACTAAATCTCTGATAAACAGAGTGTGCTCTCATTAACTCAACTTTGCCTGAAGAAATGGCTCTCATGACCGAGGCAAATTCTTTGTATTTCACTGGAAAATCCTTAGTTTTCAAAAAGTTTTCATAGCTATAAAGGCTTCCGTTATCATCAAATAAATCTGCAGCAAAAATAATGCCTTTCTCGACCCACTTAATTTTGTATAAGCTTTTGTTGTTTATAGTAATGTAGCGTTGTTAATCTACATAACTAGAATTTAACACTGTTTGCTATTCAGCTTTGCTAAATCCTGAGAAGGATCAAACGAATTGGAAAATGAAACTTATATCATATATATATCCACGGATATTTATACAATCGATAGAAGTTCATACACCAACTGGCTTGGTCTATATTTAATCAAAAAATTAATATTTAATTTAAGAGATTTAAAATTAATAGCAAAAGTTTATTTATTAAATCAGAAGATTTAAAGAGGTTTTTGCTCGTTCAGTCTGCGTTTAATTTCAAGGAAGAGTCAGGTTTAAAAAGTTAAGAATTTATTACTAACAATTTTAAGATGACAATTTAAAAGACAATTCATAAATGACAATTTATAAAAGCTTTGGTATTAAAAACTTGGTATTAAAGCAACCTGTGTCTGGATGAGAACTAAAAATGAAATGTGTGTGTGTTGGATGTGTGTGAATGTAGGTCTCAGAGGGTTTTTATCTCAGAGAGAGAAAAACGCGTTCTGGGTGAAAGAGTGGTTTTCAGCTAAGCTAAATTATTTCTTAATAAGAACAGGCATTCCAGATGCAATCTGTCGGAAGTGTCTACCTCACCCAGTTAGGAGACCCCCTTTTGGATCCGAGATGTCAGGTGGGATGATGAACCCCCAAGCACGAGGTGGGTAGAACAACCATAGTGCGACCAAATCGGTCCTGAGATGTCTCCGGGTCACAACGACTGATAAAACTGGTTGCGTCTCAAAAATCAATAACTCTGAAGGAGTTTTGCGTCAGCTTGTTGCAGATGGCGTTTCTTGTTGAAGCAATTCTATCAGCGTGACAGAAGAGCTTTGGTAGAGGTTTCGAGCGGCCGACCCGATACTCTGGAACTCTCGTCACCATGGAGAGATTTTAGTGAGCTCAAGAACTGAACTTGAACTGAGGAGTTTTGGTTTTAACATACCTCGGAACACGCCCTCTCAGAGATAGAAAGCTTTGGTGTTATGGAACAAAGACATGTGAGAGCAGTTACCTTTAACCTGATTTCTGTGTCCTGCATGGTGTGTATAAGTGCACATGACCTTCTTTACACTGTTAAAAATAACTGATTATCATAAATAATAATAATTATTAACCAAATAATAATAATTTATTTCAGTAATTAAATACATTTATAATGAACCTTGTTGATTATTTATGAACCTTGTAATAGTGAAAAGAGTTTATTAAAAATGATTCTTTTAAATCTTGAAGTGTCCTTCGTCTTGCGGATGGAACTGCAGGTCAGATAAAGACAGTCAGATTAAAGATGGTTTATAGCAGACTTTGCGTCTCCTGTGATGGATAATCTGTAGATAGAAGTACAGCCAGGACAGCTTGACCCAGCTGAGGAAGTGTGACCTTTGGGTCACAAATGAGGCCATTCATGTCGCTACAGACCCCCATGGTCAATGGCACGGTGGTCGCAGAAACCACCTGACGTTGAACATTCAGAAGACATGAAGGACTCCTTTGAGGAAAGACTCATTCAATGTTCCAGATGAAGGCAGAAGGAGTGAGGGAGCATTCCCCACGCCAGTGAATAGTCAGGATAATATCCTGAGGAAGTTGGTTAAGTCAACAATCTGTAGACCATCATATCCTTGTATATCCTTGTGAAGGTAGCTATTTCAATAGCAGTTGATCATTGATCATTAATAATTTGTAATTGCAAAGGATAAAGGAGCTCTGTGTTCCCACACAGCGTAGAGCAGGACGTAGAAGGACGACCAGCAGGCAGGATCAGGTCCCAGGTGACTTTCAGGAGACCCATCAGTGCAGCAGGATCAGGACGTCCAGACCCACGAACCAGAGCTCCAGGCAGCAGGCAGCATCAGCATCAGGCAGCGAAGCATAGAGGTCCCCCAGGTAGCGAAGACCAATGGCGAAGCTCAGGAGAGGAGTAGAGCAGACACAAGCACGTGAGGGTAGACACACAAAGATTGCATCTGATGCAAATCAAAGAAACAAAAATAAACCTGGCACTATGAGTAACTGCATGTACTATGTGTAGGAATTATGTGAATTAGCATTAAGCGAAGAAATGGGTGCAATACACTACGTGTAATGCAAAAAGTGGTGCAAAAAGAATAAAATTAATAAAACCCTGTACTGCGTATGGGAGAAATCAAAAATGGATGTAGCCCATAATGGTAAATTAACAAAGTTAATCATAAAGTTAACACTTAATTACTGTAGTAAATGTCTATAAAAAGATAGATATGTGAGTGTCAAAAAGCACTAAAAATGTAAATCAGTGAAGTTAGTAATCCCTACATGTGAATGTACCCATAAGGAATTAGGATTAGTGAATAACTGAAGCATAAGAATGAACTGAAATCAGTAAACAAAAGATTTAACTTCAAAAGTTATCAAAATCACTAGAATTTGAAAAATAAAGAAAAACTGAATTTGGATCAACATGACAGGTAGTGGAGTTACTCACTTTGAACTGTTATGAACTTAAATCATATGGATATGAAAATCCACAGCACGACCACAGCCAGAATCAACTAAGTCTGCATGATATGTTTAGACATGAAATTCATTCACGCACACACATACACTCAGCAGAACTTACGTGACCTGAATCAGAGAACCCAGCGAGAGCGGACGGAAGTTCACCCCCCTTTTGGCACGATTCGAGTTGGGTAGTCAGCCATATTGGTTGTAATAACATCCAAATTAGTGGAACCTTTGTGAGGTTTGATTTTGTTCTTGCTGTTGAGGGTCTGACCTCATGAGGAAATTACTATGCAGTGATTTTCTCCAAAATGACTGTGCTTAAATTGCTCTGAAAAGCAAATAACCACATCAGCGCCAAGAAACTTCATTTCCCATGATGCTTTGCACACTGAAGCATTGGGATGATGTCACCGCCTAATACCAGAAACACGTTCTGCGCATGTGCGGGAGGCCGTGGAGCTTTTCCCGCGAACTAAGACCATAAATCTTCAGCAGAGACAAAGAAACCTTGTTCTTTTGCCCAGGATACCTGGCGGTAAGGACACGCTTGTCGAACGCTCCGACAACTTGAGCACGCGGAAGCTCTAAGTGCCCAAGATTGAGCCACGCAACCGCTGGAAACCACTCCAACTCCATCGGGACCTGACTGGGAACGAGCGGAGCTCCATCCAGCTCTCAGAGACGCTGTAAGTTGTCAAACTCAGCACAAAAGAAACTTTGTTCTCTTTGTGTCCAGCCCGTGGAGAAACACTCGTGGAGCCAAACAACGGAGAAAGCATCAAACCGACGGATGACGCTGAAAACTGCGGAGAAACACGGAGAACCGTCAAATCAAAACAGTGAGGGACGCTTCACTGTTCTGGTGATCAGAAAACTAATTTCTCTCTCTCCTTTTCTTCTCCCGTTTCCTCTATAGTACAGAATAAGCAATAAAACCGCGCTATTGCTTAAAAAGTAGCTTCGTGTCTTCCTCTTTCGTTCCCAAACACGTCCGTCAGGTCATTTTGAAAGAATAAACTGCTTATTTATCATTGTTTGAATATCTTAAAATGTTTCGGCCATGGCCAGGCTGATAAACTAAAAGATATTAACCGTGATTAATCTTTTGTGTTGTTTCATGATCCTTTGAAATGTTTTGAGTGAATTTGAGGTTAAGTTACTTATGATTCTAAGTGCCTTGGAAGTTAAAGTGCAAGTTGCCACTCACACTTTAGCCAGACAAAGGGGTCAGCCATCTTGCATACAGACTCCATTTTAGAAACACACACACATACATACACACAAAACACCTTGAACATTATTTTGAATATACATCCTTTTATTATATCACATGGTTATTATTCATCTATGCCACTGTTTATTCATTTGACAAATTGTTAATTAAACGTTATAAAATTCAGATTTTCGTCTCCAGTAGCTTTGTTGTGTCGAAGAGAAGTCTCTGCTCCAAGGATTCTACGAACTTCAAGAAAGACTGATAAGAGTTTTG